TCACCTTTATTCTCTTTTAATGCTCTAGATATTTTCTACATGAATTAAATGATAACAGAATCAACAAAATTGTTCTCATCCTGGTATTTAAAAAAATCTATTTTGGGCTAATAACTAACTCACATATACTTATGTAATAAGAGAACTTACCTAGAAAATAAACATCACTGTTTCTAGGGAAAATGTTTCAACAATATATTGTAGCAATAAAAAAAATAAAAAAATAATAATTTAAAAAATCTGACAACACAAATTACTTACCTTATAATGATGATGGTATTTATAGGTCTCATCTGAGGGCACAGAAAGTTGGTTCTGTAAACACACATTAAATGAAGCCAAGCAAAGACTACTACTTAACAAAACAATATAATTAATATTAGGAAGGAAAAAAAAACAAGTTCATAGGTTAACCACTAAATATGTGCATACCTGTTGTAAATAAAGGGTATCCCAAAATAATGGTTTAAATAAAATTATTCAAGTGTTCTTCTACTTTATAAGCGTATTCTAATTTCTTGTTCAGTTTTATAAAGAGTGAGTTGTGTGATAGGCATAATTAAACTTATGAGAGATCTATTCATTATTGATAACAAATTAGTAATAACTTAAGTGGCAAGCAAATTGGTCATGTAGAACTAATATCAAAGGATTCCAAGGACATGGGTATTTACCTAACAGCCTCACCCCCTCCATCATCCCAATCCTAACTAACCAAACTTGTTCACAACCCCAACATTAACTATAACTAACAGAACCTAACCGATCCCAAATTTCAGCTAACCTAACCCATATGCACTTACTGTAATGTGACATCGATGAAGTCATGCAATGATCACACAAAAAATATTTGTGCAACCTGTCTATAACCCTTATGCTAACATAATCTATCCTTTCCCTAACCATAATTATTCCTATAGCCCATCCTTAATCCCAGCCTATACCTAACATAACCAAACCAGCCCCTAACTATAGCTGACCTAAACCTTCATTAATCTACAACTCCAACATTTACTATTCCTAAGCCATCCCAAATTATATCTAATCTAACCCATGCGTACTTCCTGGTAACACAACATCGAGGAAGTAATGATCTTGAAAAAAAAACCATTTCTGTGTTCTGCCCTAACTATAACTATACTTAACATAATCCAACCTAACCATAACCATAAATATTCCTATCTATCCCATCTCTAACCCAACTCAAACTATAATCCCTAATGATAACTAACACAGCCTAGCTTTAACCCTAACTTAACATGAATGTAGGATGTTGACCGCCACAACGTCATCGGAGGCCCTATGTGGCGGGAACTCTGGCTCTCCCCTGTATCTATGCCTCAGCTGACAGTCCAGTAGTTGCAACCACGTGGTCTTACGAACTCAGTTCTTTTTAACGTAACGTCTTTTAATGTTATCTAGTTATTCTTGTACGTGATTTTATGTGTTCTTTACAAATAAACTTTAATTCTTTATATCTTTATTTGTAGGAGACCTTTAATTCCCTACATGTATATAACCCTAACTCTAACCCTAACTAACCTAACCATACACACTTCCCAGTAAAGCAAAATCAATGTGAAAATGATCATGCAAGATTTGTGTAACCCATCCCTAACCCCAACAGCAACTATATCTAACATAACCTAACCTATCTCTAACCATAACTATTTCTAACTTACTCCAACTCTAACCCTGACACAAAATATACTCCAACCTAGCCTAGTCCGCCCCTAACTAACTTACCTAAGCTAACCTATCTTTAACCTTAACACTAACTCTAATTCAACATAACCTAACCCATACACCATACTTCATGGTAAAGTGAAAGTGATTGGAAAATTATCACACAAAAAAGGTTTGTGTAACCCATCCTTAACCTGAATCCTTACTATACCTAACCCACCTATAACCCAACTATTCCTAATGTAACCCAACCCTAATTGTAGCTATGTAACCTAACCAATCCTAACTCTAATAATACCTAGTTAGGTAACTAGACCTTAACCCTAACCTAATCCGTATATAACCCTAATTGTAATCCTGCCTAACCCATGCACACTCCCCAGTAAAGCAAAATCAATTTTGCAGAAATGGTCACAAAAAAAGTATGTGTAACCTGCCCCTAACCCTAACTCTTAGGCACTTCCTGGTAATATGAGATCAATGATGCAAAAGTGGACATGCAAAACAAATTTCTGTATCCAGCCAAATCACATATTCACATTAAAAATTTGTTGGGCAAAATTGTATAGATGAAAGGGTCTATTTTTTCACTATGGAAAAACTGGTTTGGTTGGTTACAGATTTACTATGGATAAAAATGACAAGATAGAAATGGATTGAATGCAACGATAACCTGAAATCAATGNGGAATAACTATAGAAATTATTTTTGATTAACTATTTGTCCTTTTCCAGTTTTAAATAATCTTCTGCCCAAAAAGTCTAATAATATCTGGTTTATTTCAAATTTTAAATAATAATAAATAAATTAATCTTGCCATGCAGAAAAAAATCATTAAATTAGCGTGCAATCCAGATTTTTTTTAAGATAGTCAACAAACATCCAGTAATGCAAGCTTATATATATATCAAACAGTAATGTAAAATACAATAATATATAATTCATAAAGTTGCAAACAGATATTTTGATAACAGTAATTAAAAAACAACAAATTCAATGTGACCAAAAGGTTACATCAAGAGTTATTTGACCCAAAACATAGAATTAAGGATGATCTAGTTGTGTGCAAGGCTTGGAAGTTCATGTACATGTGCTACTACCAACAGAGCTATTTTATACTACTTGAGGTGCAAGAAAAGGTCAACTTAATACTTACTAATTCTCTATTTTCTTCTATTGTCATACACTGATGATGTCAATAAAAATTCACTTGATATAATACTAAATATAAGGGAAAGTACACACATTTGATTCACTCAAAAAATATATTTAAAAAAATTAAAAAAATCATGCAATGAACAACAACAGAAGAAGTGGAGTGAAAATACCTGTTTAGAAGACCGTACTGAATTTTTTAATGTTGTAGGCTGCCCTTAATTATTGAAGCTAGATTATTCTATTTGTTATCACATTATACTAATTTTTTAAAGTCAAAATTAAATTTAAAAAATAGTGATATAAACTATGTATAGATGTACAAAAAGCATAACTATTGGGTTGTCCGGAAAATAATGCAGGATTTTAAGTTTTCATTAAAAAAAATCTATATAAAATATTCTGTTTACGTTTACAGGATTACTCATTTGTATGAATGTCAACACTTATTAATCCTCTTCCAAATGATATTGTTTGTTTACCTCTGTAGCATTCCGCTACTTGGAAATAATTCAGTCATCCTTATAATGTCAAAGCGAGAATTTCGTACGATTTTCTTTTACGAGTTTAAACTCGGCCGAAGCGGAGCCCAAACGGCTAGAAACATTAACCAAGTCTGGGGCGAGGGTTGTGTTAATGAGTGCACTGTGCAAAGGTGGTTTAAAAAATTTCGGGAGGGAGATTTCAGCCTTGAAGATGAAGAAGGTCGTGGAAGGCCTTCCTCTCTTAATGATGATGTTCTGCGATCAGTGGTGGAAGAAAACCCCAAAACAACTGTTCGAGAACTTGCAGAGCAACTCAAAGTCAGTAAAACGACCGTCGCTAACCACCTCAAGGCGATTGGAAAAGTGAAAAAACTCGAAAATTGGGTTCCACACTCATTAAACGATCGCCAAAAAATCAGCGCTTTGATGTTTGTGCATCACTTCTTTGTCGAAACAAAAATGACCCATTTCTGGCCAGAATTGTTACATGTGACGAAAAGTGGATTCTCTACGATAACACTAGACGTTCTGGACAGTGGCTCGACAAAGGAGAAGCTCCAAAGCCCCCAACTCATCAAAAAAAGGTAATGGTTACGGTATGGTGGGCTTCATTTGGTTTAATACACTACAGCTTCTTAAATCCTGGCGAAACCATCAATGCTGAATCATACTGTAACCAAATTAATACCATGCATCAGAAATTGGCAGTAATGAAGCCCTCTTTGGTCAATCGGAAAGGGCCCATTTTGTTGCATGACAACGCTCGACCACATGTGTCACGTGTAACGTCACAAAAATTATTGGAGCTTGGCTATGAAACTTTGCCTCACCCACCCTACTCTCCGGACCTCTCGCCTACTGACTACCATTTTTTTAGACACCTGGACCACTACTTACAACACATAATATTCAAAAATCAAACGGAACTGGAAAATGCATTTATTGACTTTATCAATTCTAAAAATTCTGAATTCTACTCAGACGGAATTAATAAGTTACCAACACGTTGGGAGAAATGTATTGAGAGTATGGGAAATTATTTTGATTAAAGAACATTGCTTTAAAGTAACTAGTTTCTTTTTTTTTGTTTAATACCAAAATCCTGCATTATTTTCCGGACAACCCGATACACTACTGCTATTGAAAATACTGCTTAAAATAAATAATGTAATATGTAATTTTCTCCACAACTATTACCTCCAATTGATAATCAGCTTTCTCATCCATCTATCTGAATTTTCTTTTCAGTAATTACTCAGATGTGAAATTTCTTTTATGAATCTCTAAAAAAAGAGTAGGAGTGATGAATAAAACAAACCAATCAAGCCGTTTTGAATTCTCCTTAGTTTGACATAAATTGGCCTGGTGTAATACTGTGCAATACATACATGTAATAGAATTGACGTTTTTTAATATTTGACGGCATTGAATTTACAATAACCTTATTATAAAAAAGGTTCAAATATAAAACCCAAAAAACCCTACACATAAAGAAGCCTTAAAACTTTTTTTGTGTATGATTTGTTTAAAAATAGAGTGCAAAAATCCCAATTGAGTACTCCTGGACCTTGGGTCTTTTTGTGCCAAAAATACATGCTTTGAACACTCCTTTTTCAATTTTAAAATTCTTCATCAATACATTCCATCATGTATTAAATATTATTGATGCATTTTAAGACTAACTCTAAACAGAAATGTTTGAATCTGGTTAGTTTTTCATTCTAAGTTACTTCTTCCTCAGTTAGTGACTTCCTACTACTCAATGGTTCAAAGTTTGCCTGGTTAATTGTTTTATTTATGTTCAGTTTTGTTTCTGGAAATGCTCACAGAGCTGATTTCTTTCTTTATACAAAAAAAATCAAATGTTGCGTAGTAACCACAAACTTGTCCCTACTGCTGTAAATTTAATTTAAAAAATTAATTTGACTGTTTAAGCTACCGTAATAATAATAACAATAAACCCAGACCCTTTCTAAATAGTAAAATAAAATAAATTTATTATTAAATATAATAATTGTACATTAACAAAATATACTATATAAATATGTATGATAATATGCAGGGGTTCAAAGACCAACCCCGCTTCCAAGTAGTGAACCCCGGGAAACGTTCGTCGCCGTCCTGACGGGGGGATTCACACTGATCCCCACGGCATGGTACGGTGCGAAAAGGCTAAAGGGGCTCTGGTGTCCTATCCCCAAGTGAGGTACTCACTTTCCTAACCACTCCTCACTAAATAGACTCCTATCANACAGGGGATACAATAGCTCTTAAAGGGCGCAGTATACCATACCCTGAATTATTACATCTATCTATCTATGATAATATGCAAAAAAATAATATAAAGCCGTTAATAAAAAAAAAGAAATGGATGGATACTTGAGTGGACTGCATAAAGTGAAAGATATTTATTTAGAAATCACAAAAGTGAAAGATGTTAGTTACCTCCGATGTTGGCCACTCTCTTCATCGCCAAACACTTTCTACTAATTAAATCAATCTGATTGTTTAAAAAAATTATTACATCTTTTTGAGAAAAAATAAATTTAAAAAAAAGTCAACGAAACATTGTGTCTATCTGGGGCGAGATCTGGTGCAGTTAAAGTAAATAATTTTTGAAATGTTATTTATGAGTTAATTTTTTAAACAATTAGAAAAGATATAATTATAATAAAACTCAATTTTATTAACGTTTTGTAATCCATGATTAACAGAGCATAATAAATTGAAATAAAAATGCAGAGATATCCACCAAACCATTTTTATTATTTTTATGTTGGGGTTTAGGAAATGTGTAATAGAAAAAGAATGAAACTATAATACGAAAAATATTAAACGTATAAGATAATTTAACACTAAACATACTTTAGTAATGACATGATATTTAGTAATTAATGTGTGGTGATTAGTGACCGTTACTCGATAATTATTCGGAAATCGTGAGATGCGGTCTGGTGTGATGTTTGTTTCAGAAAACATAAGAAAAAATTAGAAATACTTTGATTGAATATATAAAAAAAAATATTTTGCATTGTATAAATTCACTTTTTTCCACATTCTACATGTATTTGTTAAATGTAAACAATGTTTGTAAATCCCAGGCCCTGAAGATGGTCTCAATAAAGATCGAAACGTTGGCACAATAAAGAAAATGTTTTTCTGAAACCTACACCACACCAGACTGCATCTCACGATTTCTGAATAATTAGTAATTAATTGTGATTCGGTCATTACCTATCATTTTGGTCTGACAAACCTGCTGTGTTGGACTGTCAGACATGTTTCAGAATTTTGCCATCTTCAGTGTTGGGTCTGTTGACTGATGATGGTGACCTGCTGAAACTCTGACAGACCAACACAGCGAGGTTAGGCAGAAATGATCGGTAACAATCAAATTACATGTTCAATACCCAGCAGACCGCACAGAGAAAGCCCACAATTAATTGCAATTTGTATAAATTAATAGTGGTAAAAAAAGAAATTTGATATAAAAACAAAAATTAAATGCCTACTATGGGAATCCCTACTGAACCATTTTAGATCTCAACTTATCAGAATGGAGTTAATTTTTTTTAACACTATGTGTATAAAATTTTACATTTGGACCCTGAAGTACAAATGAAGCAAATTTTGAGAAAATAGTGTGAAAAAAATCAAAATTAACAACTTAATAAAATGTAAATTAACAATTAAATTAAACAAAAAACTAATTGTAAATAAATTAAAATAAAAACAAAAAACTCACAGTATGATTTATATGATTCATTGCCATAGGTGGTCCAGGGGCCTCATTAGGAGGAGTACTAACATAATTAAACCTCCCACTTCTCATTAAAGGTTGAGGAGAAAGACTTCGAGGAGATCCTGAATGTCCACTCTGAAAACAATTGTAGTCTTGAATATACAATCTTTTCCCCCTGACGGCGTGTTGATACGGATTGATAATAATTGTTTATTATTTTTATGTAATCCCAAGGGCGAAATGCTAAGAATTAAAACAAAATAGGTTGGTTGTATTTTCTGTTAGACAGGTTTTACAAACACCAAAATGCATACTATGTATGCTTTTGAGATAGAAAATACACAAATGTAATTAAACGGCATGAAAAGACAGTATCAGCATAACACTGTCTTGGCTTTTTCTCCAGGAGTTGAATGTTTTGAATTAAAATACAAGAAGAGGTAAGCATTAACATTGTATGAACAGTTTCTCAATCTCTGTTCATATTGTCCAACACCGTAGATCGACAACATTAACCATTTTTTACTAGTTCAAACATATTAAAATAAAAACGAAATATACAATTCAGTGATGCTTCTGGGCTTTTAAATAATGTAAAGAATAACTGTCAAAAAAAGTAAAACCAAACTTGATTAAATCTAATAATAAAAATAATCCATGCAAGAACTGATACAATACACATGCACTTTTAATTTATAAACTAAGTGTCAAAGACAATACTAAAATTACATAGTATATAATTTGATGCTTAACCATACATCTTAGTGTTGTGAAAAAAATTGATATTTTTATATTGATGATTATATTGATATTAAATAAATTAAATGTTCAATAAAAAATTGAACCACTTCCTGGTTATGCAATTTCATAATGTAACATATTGGAAATTTAAGTTATCAAACTTTCAAAGAACCAGCCAATGAAATAGACCTTTAGTTTTATTGATTGTCTCCCATCATGTTTAAGTTTTTGCCTGGAGAAAGAGAATCTGATATGTGTTTAGACAAGTGATATGACAGTGCTTTTGATGATCATGTTTGAGACTTTCAAACCTATTAAAATGTACACCTCATTTAGCAAACTATCTAGGCTAAACTGAATTCATTAAGCTAATCATTAAAGAGGAGATGAAGATAACATTTAAACTTATGAAAAGGTGACCAGATTTATTAATACTTTTGAAAGAAATAACAGAAATAGTGAAAAGTGAAAGTGTCACTCCTTGGCTCCATATTGAGAGTGTGTAGATTAAAATTTTGCCTGAGCATGTCAGCAAGTATTTTGATCCACTATTCTGTTGTTTTTTTTTGGGGGGGGGAGGTAGAGATGTTTTATTGCATATAGTACTGTTAGATATCTTATTTTATGTTCCATTTAGTATATTTGGGGTGAATGTATTTATTAGTGTGAACAGGTAGTGTAAGTACTGAATAAACAGTCTGTCGATAGTTGGCTAAGTTTTCAATTGGAAGGGAATCGAACGGTTCAGCCGGGCACATACTGGCCAACTAAAATCTTTTGGGTGTCCACACTCATAAGCAACCGACTAAACTGTTGGCCGAATAAAATCACTTCAATCAACAAGAAACAGGTACTGATTTATATTCAACTCACATACTTAGGACTATACATAGAGTGACATGGAACCCCACACAAGACTTAAAAGACAGTAACTTAACAGAAGACTTGGACAACTACAAAAACTTCTAGGACCGAAATCAGTCTTGACTGACAACACTAAACCAACCTTGCACAAGACTTAACTGTGACTACTTTGGACATACAAATTGGAACTTTGGGGTTATGCCAAGCCATCCCAACATCCAGCGCATCCAATTGAAAGTCTAATCAGACAAATTATCAATGTTTCGTACTATGTCACTAACCTCACTATCCACAAAGACATGAATATTCCTTTTGTCAATAAACTTTTTTTTTAAGAGTTCAATGATTAATTTTTATTGGTATGATACACTAGGGTTGTATTATTTCAATTTTTTTCACTGCACTATCGTATTTTAGCATGTGTTCTTAATCTGTAAACATTGTATATGTACAAATAGCATGTCAATTTAGTAATTACAAACAGGTGAGAATGAAATATTACCTTACTGTCACCAGAAGTCATGATTGATTGATTGTTTAAATTTCTATTACTACAGAGGAAGCATGTGCAATTGCCAAAATGGCACGAATGCACTGAAAACTTATGAGATTATGTCTGAAACGTTTTACTCACGTGTGTAAACTGTGAGTTATGATCCTCATGGTCGAGTGGAGTATTGAGCGGAGACGGAAAGTGAAAACTAGTCAAGTCTGGCAAGGATCCTGTGTTATTCCCGATAGGAATTTGTATCGTTCCTGGCTCCTGTGTTGATGGATAAATACTAAAACAATAGTAAACTATTAGTAGTACAATCATAATTATATTATCACAAATGTACCTATTAAAAATATACAAACTATCATTTATGATTTATCAGTTAGGAGTAGAACGTGTGTTGTTCTTTTAGCAGTAAACGCAATGAGAAGCTGGTAGCAGCACAGGTCTGCAGGTAAACAATATTATACAAAACTAGAATAACGTGTAGGCTAAAAAAACAAAAACAAATGTGTGGTTTGTTTTATGCATTCTTAATTTAAAAAGTTAAAGAGTTGAATTCTTAAGTTTTCATCTCTTTAATGAAGACTTTTTTTCACACTACACACTGACAAAATTGTATCTAGTCACAGCTGATTTCTATATTAAATAAAATATTCAATAATCCAAGCAAATATTTAATCTTTAATATATATGTGTTATTAAAACTGCTGAAGCTAATTTACTTCTCAATATTACAATCAACTAGAATATAAATAACAAAAGCCTAAAAAATGTAAGTGTTTTGAAAGTGATAGGCACTAAGCCAACATTTCTACCTTGTACAACTATTTTTAAAGACTAATTAAATACTTGAATAAAATGCCATATTGCTTAAATTTTAAATTGTTAAAATATACTAGACCCTAATTTAAAATGGTCACATTAATAAAGTCTGAAAGGTAGAGGATACAAATCTCGCCTACCTAATCCACCAAGACGTTGCAACAAATAATGTGGCAGTTATAGTATTCATGTTTAATTATGAATCTTTAAAATCGATTTCACATAGTGCGAAAATATACAAAAATGCAACTATTAGACACTCTTCCTTCTACAAAAATAATACAGCTAAAAAAAGGATGTTTCATGGTTTATTACATATTACCAGCTACAAAGAAGGTGTTTTTTCACTAAAGCTACTTTAAAAACTGATTAACATTGTAGAATTAATGAAAAGCCATTAGGCCGACAACAAAATATATTGTTCAAGCCTAAAATTTTACAGTATGTTATTTAAAAATAAATAATTTACCAAACAGTGAAGCAAGTCTAAATTAATTGTGACTATTTTTAAGAATCATTATATAACTTACCATGTAGTAAAATAACTGGTTGTTGGTCTGATAAAATAAATAAATAATTTAAAAGATATCTGATATAATGAATAAACCAAATGGACTGTTTACACTAGTGCTCCCAAAACTTTATAAGTAATTATCCTTAAAAATATTCGATTAAATAAATGACTGGGCATAAAGTTATGAGTTTATCTTAGTTAGAACTTCACATAAAGCATTATTATTTAAGCTTGCAGTAAAAAGACTGAACTATTCGGCATAAAGTTCAAATGTTGATTATTGAACAGTATAACCGAACAGGATTTTGAATTCCTTATACAGAATGTTTTTGATCACTAATGATAAAGATTATTCTATAACTGCTATACCCACAAAACTCACCTTATTCCAGGAACACGAGGCATATCCACAGCTGATCTCGGCCTAACTTCAGGTGAAGCAGAACATAATCTCCTTGAAGTTTCATAGTCATCCAGCTGAGTATGGCAATCAAGAGTCCCTATAAGAAATTTTTAAAAACACATTTATATAAAATAAATAACAAATAAATATAACGAATATTCTGTTTTAGAGATCTCCTGTGGTCTATGAGGTGAAACTAATTTAATTGTTACCAATCATTTTGGTTTGCCTGTTCTCGCACGGTTGGTCTGTCACACGCTTTTCAGTATTTCACCATCTTCAGTGCTGGCTAAATGCGATTTATGTGATGAAAAGTATCTTTTAAAGGACACACTGAGGATAGCCAAAGCATGTCTGACAGACCAACTAGCAAATATAGACAGACCAAAATGATCCAGGTCACATATTAAAATCTACTATGGTAGAAAAAACACTATTTAAGGAGACACAAAGACAAATGTGTTTTAACATAACAGAGGAAACTTGTCCCACAACAGCAATGGAAATCGCACTCGATCTCCCATCCTTACACATTTATGTATAAAAGGTGGCTTTCATGAGTGCCAACAGACAAAATTCTGGAGAGAATTATCGGGTTGTCCGGAAAATAATGCAGGATTTTAAGTTTTCATTAAAAAAAATCTATATAAAATATTCTGTTTACGTTTANTGGGAAATTATTTTGATTAAAGAACATTGCTTTAAAGTAACTAGTTTCTTTTTTTTTGTTTAATACCAAAATCCTGCATTATTTTCCGGACAACCCAATAATATAAATGAGATAGATGGCTATAACGTTACCTGACGAAGTGAAAAGAAAACTTTGACAGAACCTTACAAGTGTCATAGTTAACAGAGAAGTTTGGAAGAAAGGCAACTCCAAGTTTCAGGAAAGTAGGGTGAAAGGGCTTGTTAAACCAAAGCAAACTCCCTTGGATTTGTTCCAACTTCTGCAAAGCTAAGGTGCATGCAATCGAACTCTGTGCCCGAGAGTTGATCAATGAGAATATGAAAGGTGTATAGATTACTTAAAGGCAGCTATAAAGGCACTAAATGTGTAGACTTTTTGCTCAAAACTAGTCTGGGAATGCCTAAATTGTTTAATATTCCTAAGAAAACACATTAAGGTTTGGAGATATGAAAGAATAGAAGGAAATGCACTGGAAACTCAAAATAAAGGGGCAGCTCCTCACCCATGAGACCAGAACCACAAACTGACCGTACCAAAGAGTGTGCTAAAGTTGGAACTGGAAAAATTGCTTGAAGAAAAAACTCAAGCATTGGATAAAAACACCAGGTATGAGGCAAGCTAATAGATTTATAAATCTCTCAAAAAGGGAGGTGAAACAAGCCCTCCTCTCTGCAGGCAGAATTTGAGGAAAATTATATACCTGCCTTTATACTGGCCACTGCCTTCTTAACGACTACCTCAAGGAGATGGGAAAAGCAAAGACAGAAATGTGCCGGCTCTGCCAAGAGAAACCAGGGTCAATGTCACATATCTTTTGGGCAGCCCTTTCACCCCTGGGGCAGAGACACAACTGGGTGCACCAAAGAGTGTGCTAAAGTTGTAGCTGGAAAAATTGCTTGAAAAATAAAAACTCACACATTAAATAAAACACCAGGACTGAGGCTTTTTTATAAATCTCTCAAAACGGAAGATGAAACTCCTCTACCTCAGCAGGCAGGATTTGATGAAAATTAAAGGCCTCTATACCATCACTGGCCTCGCAAAAAAAATGGGCAAAGCATAGACAGAAACATGCCAACTTTGTCAAGAGAAACCAGGGACAATGGCACATACCTTTTGGGCAGACCTTTCACCCCTGGGGCAGAGACACACCTGGGTGCACCAAAGTTGGTACTGGAAAAATTGCATGAGAAAGAAAATCTCTAGCACAGTACATAACCACCAGGTACGAACCTTTTTATAAATCTCTCAGCAAGTAAGGCAAACGAACTTCTCTATCTCAGCAGGCAGCATTGGAGGAAAATTATGGGACAATGCCCTCTTACCTACCAACTCACGAAGATGGGTGAAGCAAAAACAGAAACATGCTGACTTTGTCAAGAAAAACCAGGGACATAGGATCTTTTGGGATCTGTCATCCATAGAGCCACAAATTACTCAAATTATGTTCTTGTCGTGTAAACGTGTGTGTAACAAAAAATTTTTGCACCTCTACTCTATAATTATAAATGTCTAAACCTTGAACGTTTGAGCAGTCAAAATAATTAAAGTATAATTGCTTGTAAAGGACAAACAGATACTTAAAAGCAAAGCCGTAAAATTGAGTTTTTTCTCAACAACATTATCAATATGGATGCTATGATCTTGTCAAATTGGACATTTATACCGTAAATTTTACAAATATTTTTCGTTTAGTACGAATTCTGCAATGTCATTGCGAATTACAATACTTTTGTTTTTATACGTGCCGAAAAAAAGCGAAAATCTCGATTTTTGGCAGTGGGGTTAAATATTCATAGCAGAAGGCGTGTTTGTACGAGTACGCGCGTACGTGCAATTTGTGTATAGCGGTATGTATTTATAAGGAAGGAGTCAACGAGCCTTGTAATCTTGACAAAGATCTAGCATATAAAATCCTCTCACGACGTGATCTCTACGATGACTTCGCTTCTTTAAAACAAAAACGAGAAGCCACTTCAGCATCTTTGCATTGTACCGTGTAATCGGCAAAAGCTAACTGTCCAGACGAAGTATTATTCTGCTTATTAATTGAAAAAAACGCAGAGGACATATTAGAGGTTGAAGCAAAGCAGCCACAAGTCGTTTTTTTTTTGTGTGCAAATTTTCTATTCATAAAATCCCAAAAGGAGAGTGTGTAATAGCGTGTAATAAACATTCTTCTTTCGATCATTCCGGCATGCTTGTACATATTTCGCCTAATCGTGAAGAAAAATAAATATGTGGGCATAGAATGTGTGTCCTCCAGAAAAAAATGTCCTTGGTTACATCGGCGATACATCATGATCTCCCTCCCGTTAAGCCTATTGAGGAAAACGTGGGATTAAAATTATCTTTATTGCTCGTTTGATTTTTATCTGAAACGGAAGTTAAAACAATAAAAGTGATAAAGAATACCGCCGTGAACTCCTAAGGATGTTTTGCTAAAATTTGCTAAACCAACGGACCGCAGGGCGTTGAAATTTAATTGTATTGAAAGATAAACGTTTAGGGATATGGTCCAGGGCTGATGTAAACAATGCGTGAATTTACGATAGATAGATCTAAAGATATAAAGATTTTAATTATATAAGATGTTTACAAACTGTCGAATGCCCAACAACTCTGACAAAAGATGAACGCACAAAACCAAGTAGACAAAAATTCTAGAGGCTCGTTACACAAAAAAACCACACACCCCACTTAGAAATTAAATTATACATATTAATTTATGTGAAATGGAAAGTAAAAACCACGTAAACTAACGAGGAATACAACTTAAAAAAAAGAGCTCAACATCAAATTCTCGAATATTTACTGATGAGCAGGAACAAAAGGCCTACAGAATGAAGAAACTTTGCCAATAGGACAAGTTCCTAGAGTTGTCTTTCGACGTCAAGATCCCAAAATACGATTTGACAAGAAGGTTTCACTTAAAAAAACCTACAGAGTAGACTAAGAGAAAGAGATCCCAGTTAAAGTCAATTATCTAGTACACAGATGGCTCTAAGACCGGCTATGGGTCAAGAACTGGCATTTATGGAAATAAACCATAAACTACAATTGATATAAGCCATGAGCAACATGCCACTGTCTTTCAGACGGAGACTTTGGCTATAGAACACGCTAGAGTGATAGGCAACTCCCTTATCAATAGTCAAAGCCAGAGCCTTTTGGGATTGCATCAAGGCCCCGGCAAACATTAGGAAAAAATTGCCCTAGTTTGAGTCGCAGGGCATACAGGGGCATCAAGTGTTTGACAATTTCACGGGGTTTTTGGTCGTTGGTTATTGCTTCGATAGGATTCGGTTTAGAAGACAAAACTGCTGCTATCTGCGTAGGTGAGCAGTATGGATGATATGTTTGTGTTTTCCCTTGTGGGATGCCGGCTTGTATTTGTTTCATATCTGAGTATTCGTTGTCACATTTCACTTTGAAACAGCATCAAAAAATTGCCCGGAGGTTTCGGTAGGGCGTAGCAGACATACAGCGCAAAGGGGCAACGAGTAGACTAAAGATAGTTTGGGATTCCAGCTACCTACAGGTCCTTACTAAACTCTATCCATCCTAACTCTACTGATCAAGCCATGGTTTGATTTACGTAATTAGGTGTCACTCTCTTTACGACACTGAGCACCAGTACCAGTATTGGTTTATTGTGCAATCTCCATTATTTTCTATAACTCTTCGTTAAGCTTACGGCTTAAAACCAGATCCCAAAGCTTTGTTGGCTATTCTTCTCCGAGGAGTAGGAATCCCCGTGTCCCGATGTTTCTTCTTTTTACTGGCAATACCTGCACATCCTTCTGCTATCAGTGAAAATGTCCAGTCACAAGTCCTACTATAACACCGGCCCTAACAAGTTTCTTTGCTGGTGCTTTAATAAACATTTTCGCATTTCTCCTTTCAGGGATATAGTCGCATTAAACCGAGGACCATTCTTAACCATATTCTTAACCCATTTCTGACGTAGCTACGTTTTTGGCAAATTGGTACGGCAATAATTTCAGGGCTGATAGGGTTCCTTGATCGAACTTTCCTTAGCATCCTAGCTGCCCCTCTGCCTTGTATGCTTTGCTACCTAAACAAAAATTACTTTGTTATTTTTCCCTATCTGACAGGGCCTTGATGCAATCCCAAACGACCGTTGAGGTAGCTGCCATTAATGCCTGGCTGTCGGCCTTTTGATCTCTGTCACTGTGTTCTATAGCCAAAGTCTCCGCCTGAAAGACAGTTCTTGCTCCAAAGTGTGCAGTGTCGCTCTATCTAGTCCTAGGAGCTCTAGTCCCACCCCGTCCTAGGTTTAGTAATTCTGTAGTTTTTTCGATGGCCTTTCGATTTTTTTTTTCGTTTGCTTCTATCGACATATCTCATTGAAGCATGGACTTAATTTTTAACGTGTGCGGTGTTTAGTGTTAATTTTAGTTAATTTTTAACCCATTATCTGATGGAGCTGCGTTTTGGCAATTCGGTATGCCGCAAAACGGTTCAGGGCCGATAGGTTTCTTGGCATATTTTATAATTCATAAATATTTCAAAAAAACTTCATTTTCCTTTTTTCTTGTAGAGTACGAATGGCGAAAAACGTTCAAATTTCTGAGTTGTTCCTGAGTTTTGAAGAAGGAAAAATACGTTCGGGGCAAAAGAAATAAATTACGTAAATAAATGAGAAGCCAGAAGAAAACATATTTGGTTTTTTGTGTAAATAAACAGAGTTAAAACCCTAGTTCCAGCAAATTCCATCGTCCTGAAAACACCTCATTGTTCTCTTCAACTGTAAACTACACTTTGTTATGCACGGACGTAACTTTTAAAAAAGTTTAAATTGGTGAATGATTTGATTTTTCATTGACGAAAAAAAATCGTGCCATTCAAAGACAAATACAAACAATGAGTTCATCATTTATATGCCTGCGCAATATGTGATTGCGTAAATTAAAAACAAAACTAGAAAATAAAATAACCAGTTTGTCAACTATAACTAGATCTTATGTAGGCCGAAGTTTTTTTCAATGTAAAATAATTTCTTTCTACACCTTCGCCTGAAATTTTCGCGCACACGTCATTTAATTTTATCCATCACAAAAGAAAATTAAGTTTAATATTAAATTCGTTTGTAATTTATTCCCTGATCACTAATTTAACCAATATATCAATATTATTTCTGTTTTCCGATCCTCCTACCATCAGGATCCACTTTTCTTTCCTAATCCTCCATGTTTATTATCATTCTAGGCGATAGGTCCTACGAAAAACGGCAAAATACCATTCGGGAAAGACTTCCCTAGAAGCGGGATATATGTTTTTTAAATGATAAAAAACGGATATCCGTTTGGGGGGGGGGCGGAAGGAAATGTAGATTCGACGTCACAATCTGATGCAGATTGTAGTTGGTGAAAATCTCTGGGATCGTTTTACTCTTCAAAATGAAACTTTCGGCCATAATTTTATATAGATATTTTAAAAAAGCACACGATAAGAACATAATTTGAGTAATTTGTGGCTTGCTTCATGGATATCAGTTCCAAAAAAAATTGTGCCTATGTCCGTTTTTTTTTTTTTTTTTTTTTTTGGGGGGGGGCAGAGTCAGCATATTTCTGTCTTTGCTCTGCCCATTTTCTTGAGGTGGTAGTTAAGAGGGCATTGGCCTATAATTTTCCTCAAATCCTACCTCTGAAAAAGACCTTGCCCTTCCTTTTTGAGAGATTCATAGATCTCTTAGCTTGCTTGCTTTTGTCCAGTTCTTGAGTTTTTCTTTATCGATACTTTTCCAGCTACAACTTTAGCACACTCCTTGGTGCATATAGCTGCGATTCTGTCCCATTGGTGAGTGGACTGCCCAGCAGAAGCCCTTAACAGCAGAACTACTAAACCTAGGGTGTATTAATACTAAAATGATACTGCCATTCTACCACTGCTGCCTGGACATTACTGATATTGCCATGAACATGTCCTATGTTGGTAGGAAGGCCTATGGAGGCTGGGATTCTACTCTTGGAAAAGAAAAAGCCAGGCCTCGAGGATGCACATGGGAGCCCTTAACAAAGCATTGGTCTTCTAAAAAAAAACCTTATGCATGATGAAGAGCTATTGAGCAATAAATGAGTCTAGTGGACCAATATTGGTCCCGATGTGCAATCTCCTAAAGACTCCTAAATACCTAAGCCTAACTTCTGGCTTGAGAAAAATGGTTAGGATGGATTGGGAGTTTAGTATGAACCTGTATGTATCAAGGATGGTCAGTTTGTTCAATAAAGGAACTTTGAGATCGCTGAGCATAGTGAGCTTTGTGACGTAGAAAGATGCTTTGACAATTTGTCTAAGTACTTTTGGCTGGAAGGATTGGATGCAGTGGATATTGGATGGCTTGGTAGAACCGCAGAGCCCACTTTGTAGGGCCAGAGTGGTTGCATTTATGTCTTGTATAGAGTTGAGTTTTGACAGTCAAAGCTACAACTTTAGCACATTTTTTTGGTGTGCCTAGTTGGTTCTGGTCCCATCAGTGAGAGGGCTGCCCCATCTCTAGCTGATTGGTCGTTTCCTTCTATCCCTTCGTGTCCCGACAACACCAAGGTAATTTTGTATTTTCCTAGGGCCGTTAGGCAATTAGGCATTCCCAAACTAAGGAACATTTAGTGCCATTATGACCCGTGACTGTTCGAAAGTATGAAGATCCATGCAACCTTTATTTTCTTCTTTTTTTCAACTCCTGTGCACAGAGTTGGGTTGCATGGATCTCAGCACAACTTGGATACCACCAATATAATTTCATTATTTATTTATTCATAATTATCCGATTAAAAACAGAAAGTACAAACCATCATAATAACATAAACACTAATAAACTGGTAGAAAAGTTTAAAAAATAAAGGAGTATTTACCAAAAAACCACCACCATAACTTCATGCTGAACACTAATCCATTAAAAAATCATGTGGCCTGCCGGGATTCAAGCCCAGAGCCTAACCATCGCCACCATGTTCCCAATACAACTAATAATTAATAATAACAAAATAAATTTTGCTCTTAGGCCAAGCCTGGATCATAAATATGAACCTTATATCAGTTTTTAAATATATATTGATAAAATTTTTCATTAAAAATTTCAACAGAAAAAATGTAGAAAATGGAACCACAAGATAAGAAATTACTAGTAAAGGAGATATATAAATGTTTGCCTCTAAAAAAATATTCACACACCATAGTTAAGATGTCAAAACATGGCACATACCTTTTCTATACGTGTTACTATCGTGTGAACTTGTGTGCAGGGAAGAGTCGCTATGAGTCCGGCGCCATGGTGTATCAGGAGGAGGCGACAAGTATGGTCCACTATACGGTGATGTGTCTATCCGTTTTTCAGCTGGCCTCGAGCGCATGGGTCCGACGGCACTTCTTGGACGCTCCCTGTACGTGTGATTTTTCCCTTGCGGCGATTTGAGTTCATCCATACAACTTAAAGCGGACTAAAACAAAGAAACAACCAAGAGTTAAATTATTATTATTCAAGGGAGGAAATTATTATTATCAGATTGTTAATGTACATTACTATAGCACAACATCTTTAATACAACACTATACATTTTCTACTGTACAATTTTCTGTCTGTAAATTTTCAACAGATGTTTCTTCAATCAACTACGCCGTACTTAATTAACTAAGAAAAAAGTCCAAATGCTCCAGACCAATCAGGCAGAACTCACACGTTAAGAATAGAGCATAGCATGCACTATTACTTGTCAATTGTTCAAAAATAAAAGCTTGTATCAAATAAACTTTTAAAAATATACAAATTGAGTGTGTAATTTCATAACACTATATTTAATTAATATTGTTACTAGACAGTCTAGAAAAGGAACAATCATGTTATATTATGCAGTGAGAGATGAAAGAATACATTGTAATAAAATTTTAAGTATAAATTAGCATATAAATATGGAGATTCTTTAATGGAGAGTTGTTATATTGAAGGGTGCTATCATTTTACACCCAAACATTATGATTTTAGCAAAATAATCTATATCTAAAATGGGTAACAATGTTCTCAACAGATCAATATAGTAAAGCCTCATTGTTAATCAACTACTGTACATATAAAAATATATATTACAAATTTGTGCATGTGATTTTTTTTCCTCTGGTCACAACACTGACAATATGGCCAGCACTGTGCCCAGAGGACACAGGTTAAGAGAAACCGGGCAACGCTAGTTTAAGGGATATGATGGATTAAGAGGCGAGGAGGTCTCAAGGCCATTGTTGTTGTTTAAGGCAATGAGGCGGGTTATTGGGTTGGAAAAGAGTAGATAAGGCTTGGCGAAGGGTTAGGATCGATCAAAAGCTAGGTGTGGAACTTGGATAGGTCAGCTCATTGGCAAAAGGTTGAGGTCATTGTGGATTGTGAGCTTAGGGACGTAGTACGAAGCTTTGACTATTTGTCTGAGGACTTTTGGTTAGAAAGATTGGATGTACTGGATATCGGATGGCTTTAAAGAACCCTACTCCTGGAAAAGCCTAGGCCTGAAGAATACACATGGGAGTCCTTCACAAAGCATTTGGGATCTGGTCTAAAACCTTAAACATAATGATGAGCTAAGAGAATAAGTGAGATAGCACACTAGACCAATATTGGTCGCAGTGCACAATGTCATAAAGAGGCTGATTCCTAATTACCTAAGCCTAACTTATGGCTTGAGTAGTAGGGTTAAGATGGATTTAGAGTTTAGTATGGACCTGGAGGTAGCGAGGATGGATTAGATCATATAGAGTCGTTTTAATGAGCAAAACAGATGTCGGCATAAAAGTGTTCATAGTCATCCGAGCTTCTTAGGTACAGTGGAAGTGGGTAGCTCCTTGTTGATGTACAGTGAAAGGCAAGACAGTTTTTTCAATGTATATGTTCACTGGGTACAATTTTCTGTATTCAGTCCAGTCCTTCTCTTTTTTTCTCCAGGTCTTTGAAAATTTCAAGGTGTTCTTGGATGTTGGATATGGCTTGGATAAAATTTGTTTTAGAAGACAAAAGTGCGGTGTAATCCGTGTAGGTAAGCAGTATAGAAGGTGGGACCAAGAATGTTCCCTTGTGGGATGCTGTCTTGTATTTGTTTGATATTTCTCTGTTATATGTTGGTCCTGAAGGTCTTCGTAGGTAAAGTCCTGAGTATCTGACTGGCACAGAAGTAGTAGGTCCTTGTTTTTGATGTACAGTGGAGAGCAAGACTTTTTTTTAAAATAAAACATGTAAACTGTGAAAATTTTCCTCACTTAGTTCTGTCCTCCACTTTTTGCTCCAGTCTTTGATAAGTTAAACATGTTCTTGGATGTTGGAGGTTGCTTGGATAAGATTCAGGTTAGAAGACAAAATTAGGTTATCATTGGTAATGATCGTATTGAGATGTATGGAAGTCAGCAGTATAAATGATAAAAGGATGAGACCAAAAATGTTACCATGTTGGATGCTGGCTTGTATTTATCTGATATCTGCGTATTCATTGTCACACCTCTCTGAAGCAGCAGCCAGTAAAACAGGATAAGGTAATATAGATGGGTAGGAAGTATAGATGGAGATCAGATCATATCAAAGGCCTGCACCACATCCAGGAACGAACTCAAACAATCTTTTTTGTTCTAAATGGTGTCATCGACTCTAAAAATTTGCTGGATATGAAAATATGGGGACTAAGCCAAATTGGTAAGAAGAATGATTCTATGTAAATCAAAAATAGGATGGGCTTGAAACGTTTTTGAATGACATTCCAGTATGAAGAATTAATAAAATAAAAATCACGTTCCTTTTCTGTGTGGCGGATGCTTACTGATAAAGCAAAACAAAAGTTTTTAAAGGAGTCTTTTGAGGATTTTGGACATCACAGGGAGAAAGCTGATGGGTCTGAAGGAAGATATGGGGTTGGGAGGTTTATGAGCTTCAGGAATGAGAATGACTACAGAATAGGATGGGATTGTATATTGTATTGGGTTGTCCGGAAAATAATGCAGGATTTTGGTATTAAACAAAAAAAAAGAAACTAGTTACTTTAAAGCAATGTTCTTTAATCAAAATAATTTCCCATACTCTCAATACATTTCTCCCAACGTGTTGGTAACTTATTAATTCCGTCTGAGTAGAATTCAGAATTTTTAGAATTGATAAAGTCAATAAATGCATTTTCCAGTTCCGTTTGATTTTTGAATATTATGTGTTGTAAGTAGTGGTCCAGGTGTCTAAAAAAATGGTAGTCAGTAGGCGAGAGGTCCGGAGAGTAGGGTGGGTGAGGCAAAGTTTCATAGCCAAGCTCCAATAATTTTTGTGACGTTACACGTGACACATGTGGTCGAGCGTTGTCATGCAACAAAATGGGCCCTTTCCGATTGACCAAAGAGGGCTTCATTACTGCCAATTTCTGATGCATGGTATTAATTTGGTTACAGTATGATTCAGCATTGATGGTTTCGCCAGGATTTAAGAAGCTGTAGTGTATTAAACCAAATGAAGCCCACCATACCGTAACCATTACCTTTTTTTGATGAGTTGGGGGCTTTGGAAAATGTATTGGAGCTTCTCCTTTGTCGAGCCACTGTCCAGAACGTCTAGTGTTATCGTAGAGAATCCACTTTTCGTCACATGTAACAATTCTGGCCAGAAATGGGTCATTTTTGTTTCGACAAAGAAGTGATGCACAAACATCAAAGCGCTGATTTTTTTGGCGATCGTTTAATGAGTGTGGAACCCAATTTTCGAGTTTTTTCACTTTTCCAATCGCCTTGAGGTGGTCAGCGACGGTCGTTTTACTGACTTTGAGTTGCTCTGCAAGTTCTCGAACAGTTGTTTTGGGGTTTTCTTCCACCACTGATCGCAGAACATCATCATTAAGAGAGGAAGGCCTTCCACGACCTTCTTCATCTTCAAGGCTGAAATCTCCCTCCCGAAATTTTTTAAACCACCTGTGCACAGTGCACTCATTAACACAACCCTCGCCCCAGACTTGGTTAATGTTTCTAGCCGTTTGGGCTCCGCTTCGGCCGAGTTTAAACTCGTAAAAGAAAATCGTACGAAATTCTCGCTTTGACATTATAAGGATGACTGAATTATTTCCAAGTAGCGGAATGCTACAGAGGTAAACAAACAATATCATTTGGAAGAGGATTAATAAGTGCTGACATTCATACAAATGAGTAATCCTGTAAACGTAAACAGAATATTTTATATAGATTTTTTTTAATGAAAACTTAAAATCCTGCATTATTTTCCGGACAACCCGATAGTTAAAAATACGAAAGCATTCTGAGGAAAGTTTCTATGTATAATAAATAAATAACTATACATTACATTTTTTATAATTAATTAATTTTCTACAATAATAAAAGCTGAATTTAATTTGAACTACACGACAATTATTTAATACAACAGTCCATACATGGGAAATCAACAGTACACATATACTGTGTTACAATTACTTCAGCTTCCAGCCTGTTTAATGATGGATTAACCGTCTTATAATGAAATAAACTAATGTTGAAAGTATTTTACAATGTAAGTACATTTACCCAAGTTACAAATAAAATGCGAGGGGGAAACAAATTTATACACTTACTATGATTATTTTACTTTTCCTTGATTACTTTATGTAGAAGTTTCTACTTAATATAAATAGTCAAAGGAAGTAAAAATTGCAAACGATTTTTAGAATCAGAATAAGTAGATACAGCATTTTTAATAATGAAAATTAGTACAATGGAATTTCTACACACCATGCTTAACATAATTATGATGGGATGAGAACATATACATGTAAATATTATAAAGACAATGGGAAAAAAAGTGGGTCTACTATAACACAAGTTGGTTAAATACTGAAAAAATACTAACAGAACAGTCAACATGTCCACTGTATAAGTAGGTAGTAAAACATTTCTCAATTTGAATACATTTAAAACAGGACAGCTGAATTTGAAACCACAGATACAAAATTCTCCAAGGTTAAACAGCAGGAGTTTACGGCCCTCTTTTTGACAATAATCATGCGTCAGAATTGTAAGGCTACTATACCTTAATTTCCAACTGAGCGGACATCATGACTTTGTTAACATTTGGAAGCGAACCAGCACGAAATGTTCCAAGACACTGGTTGATATGTAGTTGCTGTCTTTTATAAGCACTACCCTTAAAATTAAAAACTTTGTGAAACATAGCGTCCAAACAACAGACGAGAGAGAGAGAGAGAGAGAGGGAGAGAGAGAGATTACTTAGATTTTGATTTTAGTAGAAAAATTTGAGCGACAATTCTCCTTTTGGTTAGGGGGGTAAAACTATTATTCATTTTAGATAATATTTTGGCTTCAGATCCTAGTTNTAATATATAGTTTTTATAAAAGCAATGATGCCAAGTACTAAAACATGAAACAGGTGTGAAACAGTAAAATTTTAAATATTGGTTGAAATTCAAGATAAACTCTTTTAAGAAAACATCTTTTTTAAAACCCTTACTCAAATTGTAAGAAATGAGAACAGTAATTAGTCACTAATTATTCTTGACTAATTTATCATGACTTGAGTGTAAACACAGCAGTTTTTGTTTTTTTCTGCCAAAATAGAATTTTGCTTAGAAACAATATTTTACACACAAAAAATACTACACAAAATAGTTTTCTAATTTGGTAATAAAAAACAACAGATATTGTAAAACATCATATAAACAAAGAAAATTTTTGTGTTTAAATTTATAAATAAATTTTCAATTCCTTTCATACTTGATGTTGGTTTAAACTGTCAACTTAAGCATAGTATGCAACTAATAAGAAAATACACATTAGACAATAGCTCCTGTTGAAAATGTACACACGTTTCACACTTGATGCTTCATTCTTCTTGTAGAATATCTCTTCATGTAGTTTACGTTATTATAAGCTTTAATGGCATATCTACTTTTTATTTAGTTATTTCGAGGCCCTTTAAGCTTCCAATTCAGTAAATTTTCAATGAGCCTCAACATAAGATTGAAGGACGCTTAAAGTGCTTCCAATGCATCTAAATAAAAATTGTAAAAGTCAAAAATCAATGTTCAGATTTTTATTTCGATAAGGATATATCATTGGCATGAATATGGAAACATTTGAAAGCCACGGAATAGGATTAAAAATGGGGTGGAAGGATTGTTGGGTGTAAGTAAGGATTAGTCCATTTGGGCTGATGAAGATGGCAAAAATCCAAAATCTCATTAAAAAAATAAAACACTCCCCCCCCAAAAAAAATCTTTCATATCTATTGTGTATTCTATATATTATGAACTGTGGATGATACAACAAAATAAAAAAATAAAAAATAGATTGGAAGGAATGTCCATTCGTTTGTGTGGAGCTAAGCAGGAATTAATGTGGGCTGCTGAAGATGGCAAATAATCCAAAATGTAAAAAATAAAAAACAACAGCACTGATTCTTTTTTTTTCGTTTTTAACCTTTCATCTATATTGTGAACTGTGAATAATACAAGAAAATGAAAAATTGGGTAGAAGGAATGTCCGTTAGTTTTTGTAAGACTAAGCAGGAATTAGTCCATTTTAAGCAGCTGAAGATGGGAAAATAGCGCGTAATGTCGAAACAATAAAAACATCAACACGGATTTCTTGGGTTTTTTTAAATACCCTTCATCTGCTTTTTTATTTAGATGCAAATCAAGGCACTTTCAACCTCCTACTCAGTACATTTTCAATGATCCTCAAAAGACAACTGAAATTGTACTGACAAGTTGGCTTAAAGTGCCTCGATACGCATATAAATAAAAAATTGGAAAAGACAAAAATCATTATTCTGATTATTATTTCAATAAGATGGATGATGATGTGGAAACATTTGAAAGCCAATGTAGTATGAGTAAAGTACTACGGTCAAAATTCTCCATGAATGCTGCGTGTGAATGAAATGCAAAATATCCCTCATTAGCACACAATCAATTAAAACATTGAATAGACCAATCAACCGAACAACTAGACCAACAGGGTAAATTAACTTACTGTAGCACTACCAAGAAAGACCCATGTGTTAACACTTATTTCAGTTTAACAATTACAAATGCGTTTTCAAGGATTCACTTGTAAAAATGGTCAACTAGGAATTCAATATACCATGTTGCCCATCCTACTTGCATTTTGACACATTGTGGGATCTTCTTGTCTATGTATTTTCTCTCAGATTCATTTATTAATACTAGACAAAATTTGGCTCCATGCAATACAGCATAACTTCTAAATACATTTTCAGTCAAAAATATTGCAAGTAAACCTTGATATTTTTTAGTTTTTGACCTTAATCCATGTTTTGTTTATATTTATAGTGGTATTATTTGTTAAGTGAGAGCCATTGGGGATTAATCATTATTAATCACCGTTTAACAACAAACCAAGGATCAAGGTTTTTCTTTTTTTCAGTTGGTTTTACCTTTTGTTAGCCCCGCGTAACAATTTCACTCTATTTTATTTACTCTGTTAATTGTATTTGTCTCATAATGAGTCATTTAAGCCATGATGAATCAGTCAAAATCATAACTCACTATGAAGAAGGGAAATCATTGTGCAATTTCGCTAATTGCCTTATCATTCATTTTTCGTTAGTTTTAATGACCATTAAAAGGTACAGGGAGTCGAGGAATCTCTTGAGGCGACCATTTCAGGATGTCCCAGAATCACCAATACCATTAGACGACTTTTTAAAATACAATCTGTAAGGGCAATTCAACAGCTTCTAACATTAAAAACTTAATCGATGGTATTCAGAGTCAACTGTTAGACAAAGACTGAGAGAGTCAAACCTGACACCAAGAAGGCCTGTGAAAACTAGGAAAGGAGAGGAGGAATGGAGAAAAAATATTTCATCGATGAAATGAGAGTGGCCCTTGGACAGTCTATATGGCCATGAAAGAGTCTGGAGAAGGCCTGGAGAACAAGACATTCAGGTTAAATAGTAACATTTGAATGAAGGTATCATTTTCTGGGGGCAGCATTTTTTATGAGGCACTTACTGAGTTGGTACCAATCCAAGGCCTTAAATGCCTTGACAACATAAGTGAAGATGATCCTACAAAATTATTTAAATGTAATTATGTAAAACCCTCATAAAATTAAAAATTCTCTGGGTGTTGTGAATATTTTTGATGAAGAGTGCAATATAGAACAATCATCTACAGTTTCATCCTTGAATATCTGGGCGAATATTTACAGACAAACCGAGAAAAAATAACAGTTAAATAGAGAGAGGTAGTTTTTAACATTTTTCCAAAGCATTTACAATCATATACTTGCCCAAAGGTCTCCCAATAGTTAAATACGGTTTATTTTCAAACCTTGAATATGAATTCAGATCAACCAGCTTTGACGTTATAAGAACAAATCAAAATTAAAAATTAGCAGCTAATTATTCTTGTGCAGTTCACCATGAACCAAATGTAAACAAAGCATTTTTTTAACTCTTAAAATTAGGATTTTGTGTTTTTTTTTACAAAAACTGAATGATTTTATAAGATATTATAAACAATCGATACTGAAAAATCTTATCTTCCAACTAATCCCATGCAATCATACAACAAATAAAAAATCTCAGTGAAACATGGAATGCAAAACATATTTTTTAACAAACGTAAAATTGTTACTAACAACTGATAACAATGTACACAGAACTTACAGATAAGAGTTTGTCAAAATGATTAACAGGCATTTAGGATTGATTTTTGATCCTAAATAATTAACAGGAATACAGATTGAATGATTTTTGATAATAAATTATCATGGCAGATAAGAGCTTGTCAAATTGATTAACAGCCATATAGATTTAATGGTTTTTGATCATAAATTATCATGACAGATAAGAGCTTGTCCAATTGATTAACATGCTTATGGATCTAATAATTCTTCATCACAAATTCTCATGGCAGATAAGAATTTGACAAACTGATTAACAGGCATGTATTGATTGATTTTTGATCATAAATAATAAACAGGCATACGGATTGAATGATTTTTGATGATAAATTATCATGACATAATAGAGCTTGTCCAAATGATTAACAGCCATATAGATGTATTGGTTTTTGATCATAAATTGTCATGACATAACAAAGCTTGTCAAATTATTAACAGGCATACGGACTATAGGATTTTTGATTGTAAATCATCTTCACATATAAATGCTCTAAAAATGATTTTTTATTGTAAATTATCATGACATATAAAAGCTTGTCAAATTATTAACAGGCATATGGACTGAAGGATTTTTTATTGTAAAACATCTTCACATATAAAAGCTTGTCAAATTGTATAACAGTCATATAGATTGAATTGTTTTTGATCATAAATTATCATGGCATATAAGAGTTTATCAAACTGATTAGAAGGTATATAGATCAAATTTAAGGTTGATTGTAAATTTTCATGATAATGTTATCCAAAACCGATCATTATCTATGTACATATTGATGATTATGAACATGCCTCATCTTGCCATATGGAGGGCAATAGCATAAAGATAGTACCTACCCCCCCCTGCAAATAGACTTATAAGGAAAAAACGTTGCTAGTTAATCTAAATCCGATTAACCTTGCAAACGAATGTCGGAATGTTATATTTTTGACATTCAGTTAGAATAATTTGTTCACCGGTAGACTCAGAAACACTGAATTGAATTAAATTTGCATAATTAAACTCTAGTAAGCATATTAAGAAACCGAGTGGTTAATCTGGTTAATCATTTTATTTGAATATCAAGGCAAGATATTTTCATAGTTTCACTCACAAGTTTGTTCGGCAATGCTACGAAGGCGGAACTGTTTATATTTAAGAATCTTTAGGATTAATAGTAGCTTTTATTTTATCTTCTTGAGTAGAAAAACCTCTAGTCTTCACTAGACAAAGGAAAAGCTTGGTCAAGGTTGAATAGAACAGGAAAAACTGAGAAGTCAATTCAGACAATCAGCTTTGGTCTAGGTCAGGATCAAAAATTGTTTGTGTACAAACATTTAAAATAAATAAACAAAAGAGAAGGTAATTAAGAAAACAAATCAAACTTGCAGGTCGATAGAAAATTAACAGCAATTAGCAGCTTCTATGAGAAAAAAAAATGAAGTAAACGAAAAAAAGGTGATTTTTTTTTTTACATTGGACAGATGAAAGAGAGGCTCATCTGGAAGAAAAATGGAAAGAAGGGCCAAAAATTTGAAAACGCTTCCGCAAAAATAAAATATGCATAAAGTCAAGGCAATCGTGTAAAGCTTGCAAAATATCTAAACAAGTTAAGAAAAAAAAAACAACTATAGCTCTTTTATTTAAGGATATAATAACCGTACGGAGGTCCAGGGAGAAGAATGACACCGTGCTTTGTATTGTACGATCGAAAAGTACAACGACAGTAGAAATAAAACCGTACGAATAAAGATCCTTTGCAGACTGGGTAAAAAAAAAATTATAAATATAAAAGATAAATACGTACTTTGTTTGTTGCGTCTGAGACTTCCCTCATTATTTTCTCGAACTCCGCCGTCTCTTCCGCTTGTTTCTGGTTGTGCAGAGCGATTTTCTCACTGAACTTCCGAGGGTTGGCCATATCGAAAAAATAACTTTTTTTCACTCGTAACCAAACATTAATGTTGTTGTTTTTCGAAATTGTCTTTGTGTCAGACCCGAGTCAGGCCATAGATTAGTATTATCTAGGGTTGGGTATTCGATTAATCGAAAAACAGGCTTGTCGTATAAACAAAGATCGATAATTTTGTTTGTATACCTACAAAGCTATTAATTTCTTAATTGTTCATTATACAGAATTTATTTTATAAACGTTCATTTTATCATTAGATCCAATTGAATGGTAAATGCAACGATAAAAGCATAAACAGTATAATCATAATATTTTACAACAAAAAAAAGCACAATTTACCTTTTTCTGCTTTCAGCGACAACGATAAAAACATATTTCATCTCAAAGAGTAGTTTCACAAGCTATCATTTACTTTTCATAATGCAAAGAAACAAAATATTTTACCATTAGATAGTAAACACAAGCAATTTGCGAAACCTTGCATGAAAGAGGCCCCTCCAGACATTCTAAAAAAGAATATCCACTTTCTTAAATGTCTCTAGTTTCTTCAGTGATGAAATCTAGTAATTTTGTAGCCTTACATTAATTAATTCGTGAGTCTGATTGGGAAATGGCTCAAAGATGTTCAAGGTTGAACAAAAAGTTTTGCAGTGTACTAAAGTCTTTGATTCTATAAACAAAAATTTTCAGACTACCAGCAAAGACTGGAAAATTAATATTTGGAAAACAAGTAAGGCCCAAGTAATCAACTTTGATGAACTCCAGGAGGGATGGAATATATTTTTTACATGAGAGAATTAATTTGACCGCTTGGCTTTTAGCCATTAAATAAAAATAAAATAAATTCAAAAGAGATCCACGACTTCCTCGAAGACTTGAAAGTTTGTTAATCAGTATATCATGGTCAACCAAACTGACAGCTCAATGGAATTAGTCAATGATTTTAAAAGTATTGCTTATATAAGTATGCATTAATAAGTATAAAGCCATTTCAAAAAATATCCATGAATTCCATAATAGGAAAGTTTGTTAAGCAGTATAAGTGGTCAATAAGATCGAAAACACTCAATGAAATGTAGTTAATGATTCAAAAACATTGGTTTTGCAGATATTAAAATATTCATCAGTATTATTGGGACCACATAAAATGCCTCAAAGATGTTTAAGGTTGGTCAATTACAACTACCTATGAAGGCTGTAGCTCATTAAAAATGAAAGGGACAAATAGAGATGTTCCACAGTGGAATTATGAACAAAAATCTACAGACTAAAACTATTTGCTTCAATAGAGGAAAAGTAACAGGTAAATTGGACGAAGAAAAACAAAAGGGGCATGTGGAGAAATTTCTGTGAAAGGATGGATAAGCTTTCCATTGTGACAGAAAATTCTAACAAAAAGACACCCAGCCAATCCTGGGCTTCATTCTAAAGGCAGATAGAAGTAGAACCCATGAGGAGAGAAACACCCTGGAAGAAATGATTGTGGTTCACTTCCCAAGGGCTAAACTTTTGGAAGGCAATGAGGAGGCCTGGAAGGAACCGAGCAGGAGCTGCCAACTGCTCAAAAAGGGTAAAAGTCTCTCAGGCAAAATATTTACTGCTAAGTTAAATGGGCAATGAAGCACTTTTAATCCCTACAGATCACCATGAGGGGGTTTCCCCATGTTATTTCATCAGGGATTGAAATGGCCAAGAAATTGGACAATCATCTTGCAACAAATCCTCTTCAAGACCAACTGCATGCATACCAAAAGGGAAAAACCACAGAGACTGCCCCTAAATGTGCATATTGACAAATCATTGGAAGCTAAAGAAATAGCACTCTGCCATTTCACGGACATAGAGGAAGCCATTGACAACACCTCGTACAAAGATATTGAAACGGCTCTACAAAGAATAGGCATAGACCTCCCAACTACAAACAGGATATTAGCAGTGCTAAGAAGTTGGAAATGAGTGCTGACTTGGTTATCACACTATCCAAATAGCACCTACACAAATATGCCACCTAGGAGGGGTAATATCGCCATTTCTTTGGTTGCTAGTAGTCAATGACCTAATTAAAGAAATTAGCAAGTTGGATACCATACTATAGGTTACACATATGACTTGGTAACAAGCATAAAAGGGAAATTTGAAGACTGACAAATCAGTTGCAAAATGCCCTAAATACTGTATGAATATGGTATGAGAAAAAGCGTTTAAATATAATATAAAAGAGCCTAAGAAAACATACCTCATACCTTTCACAAAAAGAAGGAAGTTCAGTATAAAGGCTCCGACTATAAAAGGTGCAGCCTTATTCTTCATAGAAGCAAAGTACCTTGGTATAAGCCTTCACCAAAGGCTAAAATGAGGAAAATACTTGGTAACATTCTGCATAAAGGCAAGGCTCTATTAATCATTGGACAAAGTTTGTGCAGTAAAAACTGGGGAATGAACCTTAAAATGGCATTCTGGTTAAACACCACAACAGTCAGAGCCTTGACAATATGAGGAGCTTTAGCATGGTTACCAAAAACACTTAACAAGACAATTAATTAAGGTTTTTAGTCGAGATGAAAAAAAGTTAATGGCACGAGAGGGATTTGAACCCACGACCTTTGGCTAGATACGCCGCTGCTTTACCGCCTGAGCTATCGTGACCTCGATCCACTCGGACATCAACTCCCCATCTCAACCCGCCCTTTTGAGTTTTAATTAATTGTCATGTATTAATTGGTCAAGCAGACGGCGAAAGTAGTGAATGAACACTGAACAAGGAGACTCAGACCAAACTGCAAAGTGTACAAAGAATAGCATAATTCAATATTTCAGGGGCAATGCATACCTGCCCCATTACAGAAATGAAAACAGCACTCGACCTTTCACCCTTATAGGTTCATGTACAAAAGGTGGTTTTTGAGAGTGTCAACAGACCCCTGGGATACAAGAAAATAAAACCAGATCTAACTATCTAACTTGCTCGATTTAATCGTTTTCTAGTTTTAGACTGTAGACCATCAAGTTCATTATGTAGTGATTAACCAACCTTAATCACTTTTGAGACATTTGATGTAGTCCCAGTTATTCTCATTAATATCTTAATGGCTACAAAAGCAATATTGATAAAATCATTGACTAATTCCATTGAGCTATTGATTTTGGTTGGCCATGTTATACTGATTAACAAACTATCTTCAAGTCTTCGAGGAAGTCATGAATCTCTTTTGAAATTATTTTATTCTTATTTAACAGACAGAAGTCAAGCAGTCCAATTAATAATTCTTATCTCAAAAATACTTCCGTACACTCTGGAGTTCCTCGAGGTTAACTACTAAGGCTTTTCTTAAACCATTTATAAATTATATTTCATCTTGTTTTCCATTTATTAATTTTTCACTCTTTGCTGACAATCTTAAAATCTATAGAATTCTCGACACTACAAAATGCCGAAGTTATTTTAGCTTAACATTGTATGTAGTGATTCTTTCAAAGATCATACCATTTTGGGATTCATTTTTATCATAATTTAAACTATATATTCTGCCCCATCAGGAGTTGTGCAAGGTTCACTACGAGGGCTTTTTTCAGCTTTTTGTAAATGATATTTCATCTTGTATTAATTTACCACTCTTTGCAGACAAATAGAATTCCTCGACTCCAAATTTTCTGCCCACTCCAGAGTTCTTAAAGGGTCACTAGTTGGGGCTTTCTTGTTTAAGCCTTTTATAAACGTTTTCTTGTTTTATTTCTATTAATTTACCACTCTTCGCAGGCAATCTGAAAATCTATAAGTGTATAGAATCAAGAAAATAACTTTACACTTTACAAAATTCTTTGTCCAACCTTAAACATCTTTGAGGCATTTCCCAATCAAACTCATGAATATCTTAACAGCTACAAAATCAATATTTTTGAAATCATTCTCTATTCCATTGAGATTTTAATCTGGTTAACTACTTAGGCCTTTCTTGTTTAAACTTTTGTATAAATTATATTTCATCTTCGTGTCCACATATTAATTTTTTAGCCTTTGTTGATAATCTGAAATCCTATAAGTCTATAAAATCAAAAACTTTAGCACACCACAAAATTCTTTGTCCAACATTGAACATTGGTGTCACAATAAATTGTTCCTGAACTTAAAAGAAGTAAATTAGTTACTTTTTATCACTCCAATTTGATTTCCATGTATATTTACACGTTATTTGACTTAGGGAGACTGGAATATTTGGTGATACCCTTAGACTTAATTTTAAAATATACTTTCTTTGAAACATGATGCATAATCATTGATTTCTTGATTTCCTTTCCTCAATTGATTTTTGCACACCTCCTTGAATCGAACGGTTTACTTTCTCTAAAAGAGTCTCATTTTTTCAGTTATATTAAGTACTCCAGCGTACCTACACTAATTGACAGTGTACCTACCTTACATTATTGACCTTTATTATTTGTCGCTTAATCAAGTTAAACAAGACCTCTATAATTTCACATGTAATTAGTACTAATTAAAAATGTCTTTAGATCATAGCCAAATACATAAATAAAACATAGTTGTTGGTATATCTGGTATTGATGTAACATTTGTATAACAGTTTTATCATCCTGGAACATACTAAGTCACCTAAGCTGAGAAGTTAATTAATCAGTGGATATCTGTGTTGTCTCATTCTTCCTTTTTACACTCCTGATGAAGAAACCTACTTTCTCTTGTATTTATTGGTTGTTTTGTAGTTTCTTTATGTTTACCTATCAATCAGTTTATTTGCAAATGCATTTTCAGGTCCTAATTTTTTCCCAGTCCCATTATCAGGCTTTTGTGGTAGATATTACATAGACTGGATTAAAATTAGAACCTGAAAATGCATTCACAATTAAAAATATAATAATAATCTGATTAACAGTTCATTTTAAAATACCATGAAAAATAAAGAACATTTCATACTGCAATTCTTGCCTTATAGGGTTTTACAAATAGGAATTTTGCATTAAATTTCATTGAATATTTGCAAATGTTTAACTATTTATTTATCAATCTCATTATTTCCATTTTTGAACAGTTAAAATATATTGTATCTTTTTTGTGAAGCAATAAAAAAAAATATATGTATAGAAAAATTACTGTATAAATTGTTCTGCTGTTTCATATACAATATACCAGGCACAAAGAACTAAACAGCACAAACAACATTGTTGTTCACAATATTAAAATGACCAATTCTAAAATTTGAGCTGGCCTTAAAACAAAAATAATGTATTATCAGTTAGGCAATAACATTTAAATGTTTCTGTTTAAAAAAGTACATTCTAAATTACAATGGAATAATCCCGCAGTCATAAGATTTACTTGGCCAAGAATCAAAATGTCTAAACAAAAAAATGAAATATGTAATAATTAGAACTGATACATAGGGATTGTATGTCACAAAATCATATAAAATTTAACTCCTTCGCTTTTTTATATAAGAGTTTAGCTCCTGTTTGTTCGCTTGTTTTCAAAGCCTCAAAATTGCTTGTTTCTTTAAATTTCTTCCTTAGTTCAGATAACACACCTTCAATATTAGTTTCTAATAAGCTGAAAAAAAGACAAAGGCATATTTTAAAAACATAAAAAGGAGTAACAAAGAATGGTGATACAGAAGTACCGTGAAACCTCTCTATAACCAACAGGTGCCCGTTGAGGTTCTTATAAATAAAAACATATATTTACAATTAATTAATTGATCGAGTTTAGTCTTTTATTTTTATTTGTTAATGTAGATAAAGACATTTGATCCTCATGGTGCATTTCTAATTCGTTTACCATGTCAATTCATTTTCATCTAACTTATTTTTATAAAACTTAAACATTTACTTTTTTCATTTTTGAAATGAAAAAAGCATAATCCCTAATGAAAAAAGTATAAATAGCTAATTAGATTTTTTTAATTTTATATAAATCGCGTGAAGCTTGATAACACAAAATACAGTTGATACTTGAGAGCCAAAATGTGCTCATTTGGCCATTAACAGACCAAACAAATAGGGTGGTAATCCTAATTTCCACGTCATCAATGTTAGTAGAGAAGAGGGGAAAAAATGTTGGTTCCTCTGTGAAATAGAAGATTTTGAAGAAGACAAAGCAGTTTCCAGAAAAGTAGGCAAAAAAGAGATGACATAGCCCAAACAATTTATTCCTCGCCGAAAGAGCTTTCGAGAGATGTAACAGAACTTCCGGGGGGGGGGGATAGCACCCTTATAAGGGAAAAGAAAAATATGCAGTATTTCCTAAAATCTGTGTTGGAGACCGTGGTAGGTGAGTGGTTAAGGTGTCAAAATCTCGGGTAGTAGATCCCCAGTCCTTGAATTAGTTTTTATAAATAAATAAACTTGTAATCTTTGACAGTAAAAAACTTAAACCATATAAGTATAACAGAAGATCATGTTGGACGAATGGTTAGGACATCTGACTCATATTTGTCACGCTAGCAGTTCTGAGTTTGAATCTTGGCATAGCCCTTAGCTTTTTAATTGTGATACAAAAAAATTGTAAAGTGGTTTGACCCCTCATTCTTCATGACACCAAACATACAACTACACTGGGACGTTTGACGTTAAGCACACCTGTATAACAAGAATCGTACAGTTGAACAGGAAACAATCAACTGAAATTTTCACACATTTCAAGGGACGTTTCAGCTTAGAAAAAAAAGTTTAGTTGACCAATAAGCTAACTTTTTACATTACTTTTCTTAATATCTCAAGTATAGATCAATAATAATATAATTAAATTTATTAAAAATAGATTTAAATTTAGTTTTTAATGTCATACTTACAATAGTAAAGTAAAACAACCACGACTAAATGTTAACCACTTTTCTAGTGTTTGTTTTTTCAATGACTCAACCAATGATGCAGAGAAAGTAATTTTCCCAGATTCGTGTAATACTTGGTCATGTTTTATAATTTGTTTCAAAGCCTTATGCACTCCAGCATCCTCAATAATACAGGTCGTTTTGTCATCTTTCATGCTCTCCAAATCAGTACAGTACTGAGCCAATGATGAATACGTCTCAGCAATTAAAGGATTAGAATCTAAATTGTATTAAACATTAACAAATCATTAATGTATAACCTAATAAAAGTAATAGAGAATTGTAGTCTGAAACATAAATTGAAATAAGAGGTTCCAACATCAGGTGAACATTGGGGATAAAATCTAAATGAAATTAATCACTTAACTAAAATAAACAGAATATTGAATGGGGATTTAGGTTTACCTGTTCCTTGTCGTAAAATCGCTGCAGTAACTAAGCTAACAGAGCCATTTGCCAACCATGCTTTTGGATTGTCTCTGATTTGAATAAATATTGGATTTAAACAACATTCCAATAATTCGTTCATCCTCTTTTCCTGGCTTTTCTTCCTACAAATGATTTTGAACTTGTAATAACATTACTAAAATATTACAGTGTTTATTTTAAACTTTGAAAATCACATTCCTCAAATATTGTTACAATAAAGATACAAACTGTAACAAATCATGTTTACTGAGTTCAGAAATCAACTCAATAAGTAAATTTGCATGTGCACTTACACATTAGAAGAAGTATCAGCCATCTTGAGTTTTTCTATGTATGACGGATGGAAAAAATGAGTATCTCTGTGTGCAAATAAATACAAAATAACCCGTTTCCCATGTTCGTTCTGAACTAATTTTTCAGCACAGTCAATTATTGTTGGAAGTAATGCCTAAAATTATAGAAGACATTTAAAAATAAATGGTAGCTACAGTTAAAAAATAAAGTCTATTCAGATTGAACTAAGGTCAGCCATGACAAATAAATAAAAAATAATACAGTGAAACCCCTTTTAAAAGGAACACTCTATAGCGATCACCTCTCTTACTGGAAAATTTTTGCATTCCCGGAAAAAAAGATGAGTTTTTCACATTTAAAGATTACAAGTTTATTAATTTATATTGTATTGTATTATTTATTTATTTATGGGCCGACAAACATCAAGTGTCATCGCCAGCCCTCTGTGCTGTAAGTAATTTTTTTGTGTGCATCTTTGTTATTTATTTACAAAAACTGATTCATGCTTGATTGATTATGTTGACCAACAAAAATTGAATCATGAGAGCCAAAGATTCTTAATTTGTGTTATATTAGGGGGTTCCGTCCCTGGCTCGCTTTGAGGGAGCTCGTGGCTGCACTTCTTCCTTTTTTTTTTTCATTGCCCACTCATCCCCTCTCAAAAAAGATAGAAGACACCAGCTGTTGTGGGGCGGCCTGGGGGTCGGCAAGTGGAGAATCAATTGAGACACACTTAACAATTTACCCTGGTAGTCGTTTCACAATAAGGCGGTAGATTTTTTCACTTCATCATTTCTAGGTGCTCTACTTCTTCATCAGACAAATCTAATGGATAACACTTTTCAATTAAATTATCACATAACATTTCCTGGGGTATGTGATAATAAAGCTTTTTTAAAATATTATTTCCGATATCTAATTACCAATTTGAGAATTCAAAGGAATCTCCATCCACACACATCTTCTTGAACAATTTAAATTGCTGAAAGTTATTCTATAATTTTTATATTTTTTATTTTTTTAATGACCCAGTATAAAAATTTTACCAGCAAATGCCGATTGACATTAAAACCATCTCTAAATGTCCTATTGATATTGGCTAATACAGTTTTGGGAATCATCGAGGCTTCATCCCAGATGAAAATGTCTGTTTCTTGGAGTGCCAGTTTCATTTGTGTGACCAGTTGATAACTGTAAGGGGCAACAAAAAAGCAGTAAAGACTGACGCTGAGGGTGCTTCAAGCAAACCTCCAGCAATTTAAACCTGCACTTATGTTTTGTTGTGTAGCCAGGGATATCTTACCTTGATTTAAAAAATTTATTTTACACCCCTCCTGAATAGGCACCTTATTTCTTGTATGTTCATATAGAGGGGTTTCACTGTATTTAAACATTTTAAACAACCTCGGAAAAATTTAATCAAGTATATTTAAGCAATTGCAGTTATTACATATTTCTCTGCAATAACTTTACAGTGCAAGCATTTAGCACATATAACTTAAAAATAAGAACAATATTTTAAAAAACCACAATATTAATAGTACAATTTGATTAATTCAAAAAGATGAATTGGCAAATATGAGATCAACTTTCCATTTTTAAACCAAATAGACTGACAATGCATTTGCTGTTTCATCAATCATTTTACGACAAGTAATTACCTTTTTCATTAGAACAGTGTCATCCACTGAATCGATGAGATGTAGAAGAAACATGCTGCCTGCCTCAGTCATGGCAATATTTCTTAAATCACACTTCAACTCTTTAACAATATCTTTTTTCCCCTAAAACAATAAATGCTGAACAATTTTAATAATAAGTGCTTGGCAAAGAAAGTGGTTGAAATTTCAAGGTTGAAGGGTTGTCTTAAATCAATTTACTCAAACATGTTGTAATTTTAATAAAACCTAGTATTTTATGTAAAATAGTCTGGAGATCATAAAATATTATTTATAGATAGTTTAATATGCATTTTTACACTGTGTGTTTTCATAATGGTGAATGCTTTTCTAACCTTAGGTTGAAAGAAACCCAGGTATTCCATTATACAGTAGAAATCCGTTTATCCTGACTTGAAGGGATCAGGACTTGTCTGGATGATAAAAAATCTGGATAATCCGAAAATTTGTGATTTTATTAGTATCGTGTCATAAAAATGGAAAAAACACACACAAAAGTGGACACTTTTATTCAGATATCGTAACATGTAAAGTAATACATATTACACAGAGAGGGCGACCAAGACCCGAGGGGTTAAATGCCTGGGTAGACTCGTACCCCATTAAAGTAATACATAGTTTTTATTCATTTTATTTTTGTTTAAGTTCGGACACGCGTTTCTCAAAAAATTTATATGTAAAAAATACCTAATAAAAAAAACCTTTTCAATAGAAGCCAGTATGTGAACAACACGACACAACAATTTCTAGTCTTTTAAAATAGGATACACGTTTATTTAATTTATTTATTTTTGTTTTTCATAAAAATGTGACTGTCATCCTCTCCGGCCTCTTCGATCGTGTGACTAGTGGAAGGGCGATTTAGTGGCCTTTACAAATTTTGAATAACGAATTAAAGATCCCATAGTTGAATTAGGAATTTTAAAAAAATTAATATACATACATTGAGGATTATGAAAAATTTATAAAAAATATTTTAACAAACAGGTCCGGATAATCGGGCTTCACTGTGGTTGAATTTATTTAGAGATAGTCGTTTTGGGCTATAAAGCCCATCTATAAAATTAAATTATGATTTCCCCCAGTGATCTGCAGGGTGATGGACATGTAATTTGATCATTACAATCATTTTGATCTGTCTATCCTCACTGGACTGGTCTCTCAGATACATTTAAGCATTTTGCCATCTTCAATGTTATTTTGGGTCAATGACAATGTCAAAAGGACAAACTGTTTGACGACCACATGATTTGGAAATGATCAAGATAGAAGTTTATTCTTAGTGTAGAAATGTGTGGTGTTTAGTGACCGATTGCCAATGATTATTTGGAGATCGTGAGATGCGGTCTGGTGTGACGTGGGTTTTAGACAAAAACAATATTTATAAATCCCAGGCCCTGAAAATGAACTCAATAAAGATCAAAACATTGGCACGATAAAGAAAATGTTTGTCTAAAACCTACGTCACACCAGACCGCATCTCACGATCTCCAAATAATCATTTGTTCTTAGTTTTATCATGTTTACACAGTTGCCTTGATTCTTTTCAGTCCATTGTATCATATTGCCTTCATATTTGTTTTATCAAAGCTTAATAACGCTCAATTTTAAGACACTGAAGATGGCAAAATGCCACCAACCCAGCAAAGATAGGCAGACAGAAAAGATCAGATGACCAAATCACAGGTTAATCAAATTAAATCAACCACAGATTCATTCTTACTAAATTATGTTTTCATTAATGTAAGATAAATTTCATGTCTTACCTTTGCACTACAATTCCAAATTAAGTAAAAGCCAACGTTTGCACCAAACTTGGTTTTAATTAAAAGGCTTATATCAGATTTGAGAATTTCAAATATTTCCGTCTTTTCCTTCTCCTCACAATTTTGTATGTAATCAAGTACAGTAGACATCACCAGGTTTGAATTGTACGACCACTTCCTGGGGAATAATAAGAATTTTTTAATTTTTGATGTATTCATTATGGGAGTCTTAATTGGTTTTAATCCAAAAACGTGATCTGTAATGGGATTGTGTTGCGACCAAAAATACTGTAACTTTGGAACAGTTTAACCTATTTACTAATTAAATTCACTGTTTTTCGTGGTCCGCTTGACCTATTTACTAATGTCAAATGATAATCAACAATCCATAGGGACTGATGTAAAAAGGCGGCAGTTTCCAAAGATCTGTGTTAGCCGTATCTGGGGTTTGACAAGAAAACATGTTTTTGCAGTGGTCAATGTGTTAAAAATTTCATCGGATAAACATTTTTAAAAATGTTATAAAATGTAAAATGGTGGTTCTGTCAAGAAATTGAAAAAAAATTGGTTTTTAAATAAATGTTTGATCCAAGATAGAAAGTAATTGGCCTTTTTTTAGCTACATCTACATCGGGAGAAAAGGGTTACAAGTGTCTCATTAGAAAATCAATTCTAAATAAACATTTTTAACATCCTAAAAATATCATTTATTAATTTTACTTAAAAGGTACAAATAGGGCTTTAAGCCTCCTTACATGTACATATTTTAGAAGTTTAGTTTTATAAACATAATAAATGATAATCATATAATAATAAGAAAAATCAATAACTATATTAAACTATAGTAATAGTAATAATAATAAACATAATAAAAATAATATATTAAATTAATATAATCGAATGATAAAACCACATTACGAAAGAAAAGCAGAAAAGAAAAAAAGGAAGAGGGATGAAAAGGAGATGATTCATGTAGTTTTTAAAACCTCAGATGCTAATGGACCTGAAACAGCCAGCAAGGAAGCAGAACATACTTCCCGGGGAAGCAAATTCCATAGTCTTGACCCCACAATTCTGAAGGATAAGACTTAAGCTTTAGAGGAGTGTTAAAGATAGGGATATGATTGGTGTATTTGGATAAGGAATGTGAGGAAAAAGTTGATAGATATTGAGGACATAGATTTGATTTAATTTTAAATATGTATATTAAAACTCTAAGTTTATAAGTGCTTAGAAATGTTAAGGCTGCTGAAGATGTGAATATAGGAAGAAATATCTCTTGGTTTAAGATCATAACAGTATTTAATGCAGGAATGTTAAGCAATTTGAAGGCAATGAGCAGATAGTCTGATGATGATGAAACTAGGATGCAGGGTTTGTGCTCCCCAGGCACTGCAGCCTCTGGCTTATTGTACCTTCCTAGGTCCCTAGTCCAATGTAATCAACTTAATTCTTCTTCTCAGACTGTTTGACTGTTGCTGCTACAATTTCATTCCCTAGGTTTTTCCTGTATGCTAGGTTAAATCTCCATTGAGCCGTTACTTCGCTGACATTGAACCAATAGCACTACAGTATGATAATAAAATAATTATTAGGAATTTAACCCTTAAGTCTGCGCATCTGGTGCACTCAGTGTGCCACTGAGTAAAACTTGCTTATTTACATGTGATGTTAATAATTTTGAAGTAACAATATTATTAATTTAATAGTGCACAACAAAGGAAATCATATTTTGACAAAGAATTAAAAATTTCTAAAGGAATAAATATATTTTAAAAAATGGGGTTTTTATGAAAAAAAGGGAAAAATCAATAAATATAAATGCACATACTTCCGTTAATCAACAAGAGGAGTGGACTTAAGGGTTAATAAGGGGAGCTCTACTTTTGTGAGGAGTGTAAAAAGCTAAGGCATCAAAGAGGATGGAGGAACGAGTAGACCGTTTTAACAGAGCTCATACGATTTTTAACTTTCAGACAAAACTTAATAATAAATTTTTAATTTAAAGGAAATATTAAAAGTATATAGAATTGAAATGATTGGTTTCGTCCAAAATGAATGAAATGTTTTAAAAACTCACTTTGCAAGAAGTTGTGTTAACATTGTGTGAATTTTTCTTAAAATTGCTGGTTTAAGCGTGACATTTTCCTGTAATGCTTTGCCTAAGTCGGTTTCAGTAGTATTTTTTAACAAATCTCCGTATAATTCTTTCTTAAGAAGCATTTTCTCTTTTTTGTTGGCATAATTTGAATACATGTCTTCAATTATAGGAGCAGATATCTAGAAAAAGTTATATAAAAACAAAATGTAACTCAGGGAAATGAATAAGTCTAAACTTCTGATTTACCTTTGAGCTCAAGAGCTTCAGAACGTGTCCGTAACAATTTTGAATGAGTTGTCGTTGTGTAGATGAATTGCATGATTTCAATATGCACTTTATAATATGATTTGAATATTTACTCCGAACCAGAACAACAACATCATTTATTAATTCACTGACAATACTTTCCTTAACCTCAGGGGTTCCGAGTTTTAAAAGCCATTGGATTATCCGAGCAGTATCATGTCTCATTACCATCTAAAACATAAGGGCAATAATAAATATTATTATTGAATCTGGAACAAATGTTTAACAAAACTTATTCCTTAAGGATTTAGTTTTCTTTAATAGTTATTATTCCAGTTTATAGAAGCAATTATTGGTTAGAAGATTTATCCAGTTATTTGCAAAAAGCTACATATGAACATTGTTTTTTGGAAAAACTAAATTTCCTACTTTTTCAACCAAGAACAACTTTATTTATTTATCCTTTTAATTAATAATAAATTAATTGCTCATAGTAATGAAAGAAAAAATTTGCAATAATTTTTTCTAATAATTTAAGATTTTTTTCAAACTTTTTTTGCAAACTAATCCATGATTTTTGACTGCGCATGCTCAAATGTTGACTGATCATGTATTCTTAACTCTAATAGAATGCTTTTTTCTAATCTCAGACGAGACAGTTAAGGTGGGAAACATTGAAACGTTTGAAATTGGAAATTAACTTTTTGTTGATATATATTTTTGCATGGCATCTATTATTTTGAAATGGATACGGATTCTTGGTGATCAGCAGCAAAATCTGGGTTCATCTGGCCTACTTTATTGATCTCCATCCAGGACGTCCTGTTAATTCGATCTTATTTGAGGAAAAGTTGCAAAAATTTTCTTTTGTACCACAATCAACTGATTTACTACCAATTAAAATGATTCATAAGTTGGTGATTGATTGGACAAGTTGGAGAAGATTTTGATTATCAGAAAAATAGTGTACAGAAAAAGTTTTTATGACAGTTTGCACCATTGAATTCAGGATTAAAAACTCTTTAAAAACGTACATTGATAAGGATCTTGCCATTTGGAATAGTTAAGTTCCTATGTATCCTGCTATATTGGTGAGTTAGATCAAAACTTCTTGGCTCATGATAATAGACAAAAATTAGCAATTATTTGGCTCGTATGTACAAAACAAATTTTTATACATATAGGTACTTTTATGATGAATAATTTTATTGCATTCTTACTTGTTACCTAAAAATACTTTTCTTTAATAAGTCGCTAATAATCCTTTAACAATTTAATTAAGTGAAGAGGGTTTATAGAGTAAATTTAGTCATTTCTTGTTTGTGTTAAAAATTTAAAAATGTATTCAACAACTCATGGTTATAACATAGATCTGAATTACAAAAATGATCACTTTACCAACTTTTATTTACCTTGTCTAAATTTCCTTTAACTGATGCAGCAAGCTTCTTTACATGGTTATTGCGCTCGGAAAGAGGGCACTTTTTGGTACGAATTACCTCAAAAAGTTTTTTAGCTTCTTGCAATTCTGAATGAATAGAAGTATTGCGTTTAAGTTTTCTCTGTAGGGTAACCTCTTTGTGTTTCTTTTTAATTCCTGCCCATTCAGGTTTTTCCATTGTTCCTCCTGTATAAAAAATATATTCCCAAACATCAATATAAACTAAGAAGTCTCTGGATGATTTCACAGCATATATAAAATTACTAAAAACATTTCGAAGAAAAAAAAAAAAGCAAAGCCTTATCTATCCTAGATTACTAGCATTACAACTGTTAACCAAAAAGTGGCAAATATCACACGACAAAGAAGAAAGATAAAAACTAAAATCAAAGATCTTGATGCAGCTGTTGCATGGAAATAATATGCAGCAATTTCAAAATTTATAAATAACAGCACTTGCACTACAGGTAGAATATGAGATGATAGGAGGAAAAAGTATACATGTCAGAAAGAAATTGTCAAAAAGTGAAATAAACAAATAAGGCATGGGGTGGTTTAACAAAATGTTTTACAAAGTGCAATTCTTTGCAATTTCTTATGACGTCCAATATTTGTTGGGTACTGTTAGACAAGTGTGAACATTACAGTCTAAAAAATAGTGCAATACAGCAAAATACATGTAAAAAAATCATTATTAATAAACACATAGAAAGATTAATCAGCTGTGTAACTAAGATTAGATTTGTTCCTTTGTATCTAGATACAGGATTAAGTATTTTATTAAATAGTTTCACTTCTCACTTCATAAAAAACTTACCCTGTAATGGTTTTGTAGAATCCTTTCTAAACGTCTTCTTTAATGGTTTTCCTAAACGGGGGGAAAAAAATATGGGAGGTATTTTAGTTTGGAATATTAATATTTTATAAATAATAAACAAATGGAACTCTAGATTAATAGATTAAAGATGATAAAATTTCAATATGGAGTTGAGCTCAATATAAAGTTTCAATAATGGGGACTGTAAAATTGTGAGGCTTTAGGGTACGAAAAATCATACAAACCTAACAAATAGTTAACTAGACTAATAAAATATAATATACATATATATATATTTTTTAATGTACCTTGAAATGCTTTTGTAGAATCTTTACCAAACATCTTCTTTGATGGTTTTCCTGGAAAAAAGTGACAAAATCGTAGTTTAAAATATAGTATTTTATTTGAAACAGAACAACTGGGTAAATCCACAACCCCAACTTATTTGAATTAAGGTGGATTAAAATTACATATAAAAAAATTATAATCAAACAAGAGGATGATAAGAATAGGCCATGTGAGGTAGACACATGGGCACTTACTTAATTTACTGCATGGCTGGCATATAGAGTGAGAGATGTGAGAGATCAATGTGTTCCACTTAAGTGGTGGAATGCCTTGACTTCATGTAGAGAGCATGAAGGAATGCCTTTCGATATGAAAATTGTACACAGCAACGGGTATTTGTGTCCTGTTCCTTTTCATGGAGGAAACAGGGTTGTTTACTGTATATGGTCCTGATAGATATTTCCTTTGATGTTCCTTGTTATGTATATTAAAAGTAAGTGCATTTATTAGCATGACACTAAACTGTGAGGGTCTATGGTGGAATATAGAGTCGACCATCAATTAGATGAGTTATTATGTGTAAAGGTAGATGGAGGAATATTGAGTATTCCACCACCCTACATAGTGAATGGTATGTAATTACGAACAAACGTATTTTACCCAGATCCTCCTTTAGTCCTTGTGAAGGACATATTTTCCATAGAATTCTGTGACCGTGCAATGTTTCAGGGGTTGCCTAGGACGACGCAACTTGTTATAACACTTGATGATGGGGGAAGCAGAGTTTGTGCTGCCCAGACATTGCAGCCTTTTGGCTTATTGTACATTCTTAGTTCTTCAGTTCAGTGCAATTGACTCAATCCTTCTTCTCAGAAGTATTAGATCATTGACTGTCGCTGTTACAATTTCATTCCCTGGGTATCCTAGTTATGTTTTCACTGAGCTGTTGCTTTGCATTCGAAGATGATATGGGTCTGCAAATGGGATCATCACTGTATATGCCCATGTTATGTAAATATTTTCTCAAATGCCAGTGGTTAATAGTCTTATCAATCCTCTGAATCTGGCCCTCTACAATTGTAGTTTTAAGTTTACTTTGTCTAGGCATCGCAATAGTTTATCCACTTCTCTTATTATTTTTTTTTTTAATCCATCCTGTGATGGAGAATTCTGTATTTGATTTTGTTATCCGAAGTCTAGGTTCAGGGCCTATAAATTACAGCTCCTCCTCTGACCAGTGTGTCTGCTTTTTAGTTACCCAAAATTAAATTCCTGTATCCTGGCACTCAAGATATCATCAGTTGTTGTGTTTCCCCAGGTTTTAGAGATTTTGGATGCATTCACTGACTAGTTTTGATGCAATTTTTTTACACGCTAATGCTTTAATCGCTGCTTGGCTATCCAATCTTATGAGGATTTTTTGCCAGTGTAGCCCCTAAAGATTTTGTAGGGCACAAGCATTGATGGCATGTATTTCTGTTTGAAAGACTGAAGTGAACTTCCCTAAGTTTGACTGCTTATATTTTAGGCTTATACAAAAAACACACTTTCTGGTTCCTAAGTTTGTTTGAGAGCCATCTGTATACCATATCATTGTATCTCATGCTCTTCTGAGTTTTTCCTGTATAAGGAATAATGGAATTATTCACAATAAAGTGACCCGGGGTGTGTGTTACTATCGAGCCCTGTTTTCATCCGGCTGGTGGGTTCATTTGCATGCAATGATATGCAATTGTATTTCTAGTTATTATGAAAAATAAATAAAAAACAAGTGTCTTTTTTATTTGTTTTTGTATCTTTATTGTATGTATGTTCATTTCAAATCTGTATGTACATATGTGTACAGAGTTGGGCTAAATAAATCAGTAATCAGTATTTATGTTGTTTTTGGACATTTTAAGAGATACAATGAATACTTTTTACAAAAAACAAATTTCCAATTAAATAAAACTTTGTATTTCTCCTTCTATTTACCTACTTCTGTTGAAAATTATAATAGACTGAGTAATGGACTGTCACCTTACACAGTTACAGCTCAAAAATCAGTTATCATCACCAAAATTAAATTTGTGTTGACAGCCCTCCATTGATGGCAGGAGGGCAAGAGTGAACAGCTAACAATTTTGTTGTAACATTGCCAGTGTTGGTAGGACAGATAAGACCGAGATCTGAGCCCAGAATGCCAAACACTGAAGCAGGCAGCAAGAATTCATAAGCTCAATTCTGTATATATATGTATATACATAGCTGGACTTGCATAAATCCACTTTTCATAGGCAAAAATGTTACCTAACACTTAAATGTAAATTATACAATGCCTAAATTGTATTACGCATAAACACAAGCGTTTATTTTATTAAACTAAAATGACAAAGAGGGATAAAATTAATTTGAATGCTTACCTTTAATGAATTTAGTATTTTTGGTTTTAGTAGGAGTCTTGGATGGTTTGAACTTTTTGGCCACAATTGTTTTCTCAACCGGCACTTCCATCCCTTCGGACTCGGTCGACTTTCTCTTCATAATTACGATACTTTAGTGTTTATTTCTTTGCAAAAACGTTGATAATTAAATAACGAGTGTTGATGACGAAGTTTGTACTGTTTCAGTCACATGGGATTTGTTTGAGAAGGTAGGGAAGAGGTTATAAAAATAATCGATATCACACTATACAAACTCGATGGCAGCTGACCATGATGTCACGTTTTGTTTGGTAAATTCTAATAGTTGGAAATGACTAAAAACTGTTGTTTAAACTTTTTAGAGTTAAAATTCTCCATAGTAAATAACATAATTGAAATAGAAATACATAGAAAACCTGCAACTACATACACCACGATTCTAGTAATTTTAAACTGCCGAATGTGAATAAATCTTCGCTGTAATTTTTATTTTATTTTATTCTTTATTACTTACTATTTTCTGATGTATAAACTGGCAGAAGCTTTAGGCAGACATCAGGATATCCGAACACCTCCCAACATCCAATCGACAGTCAATCTTCAAAGTCTATCTGATCAAGCATGGACACACATTCGACAGAACGAGAAATATGGAATATTTACACATAAAATAGAAAGGGAGGATATTCGATTGGATAGAACAATACTAGATCAAAAGATGTAAATTAAAATTAAAAGAAAAATGCTTAAATACGCAAGAATTTTTTAGTCTTCCAAGAACCTCTTAACAAATTTCGGAAGGAAAGAAGTGACAGAATGTATCAAAGGAAGCAGGAAGAAACTGCGAATTCTAACAGGATTCTTAACAGGACACTGTAAACTAAATGGACATTTAAAGAAGATTGGAATAATCCACGACGGTACAAGCAGATTCTGCAAAGAGGCAGAGGAGATACCAACCCACCTATTAACAAATTGTGGCGCTACACGTACTTGCAGAAGGAAGTGTTTTGGGACGTACAATGTGACGGTAGAAGAAATTCAGCCAGTGAAACCGGGCCTATTAATCAAGTTCCTTGATGAAAAGGTCTCACCGGTGTGGCACAGAACGGGGGATACAATAGCTCTTAAAGGGCGCAGTATTCACACCCCGACAAATACATCTACATCTATGAATCTACTAATATGTCACTCCCACCCGAACGTAGAGGCAGCAGGGAATGAAGCCCAGAAAACCGTTACATGTACCTACATTTACGTTTATAGAAGCTCAAAACTTTTTTTTTTTTTTGGGGGGGGGGTTTACGCTGGCATATTACCCGTGAAGTTTTCTATTTTCATTTTACTGTCGAGCGTGATCGGCCGACCAGGACCAGGTCCCCGCCGCGCGCGCGCCCGCACCACTCATTCAGCTCCATCATCTTCTCATCTTCTAAATTTTGATGGTTGAAGATAATCAAAAAGAAACGTTTATCGACTTTAGAAATCCATAGATTATGTTGAAAGCTGATGGATTGTTGCTTATTAGGACAGATTCTAAGTTTATTGGTTTGGAAATGTTTGGGACTTTGCTCAGATTTTTTAGCAGTTTGTCTCTTTCATTTTCATATTCTGGACATTCAAACATTATTTGGGAAGGATTTGAAGGGCAAAATTGTTTAAATTTCAAAATTAATGTGTGGTGATGACCGTTAGTCCATGATTATTCGGAGATCGTGAGATGCGGTCTGGTGTGACGTGGGTTTTAGAAAAAATTAATTCAAAATTAATGCAAAAGTTTTAAAAAAATGTTAATCTAAGTTTGTATTTACGATAGCTAATAATTATACACTAATCAATTTGTTTCCTCATTGTAAGCCAAAACATGATTTGTGAATAAAGTCGAAACCGGTCGCCGGAAAAACGTTGGTTTTCTTCCAAAAGCACTTACAAAGTGGAGAGAACCACACAAACAAAAAAAGGTATCATATTGTTAGTGTTGATGATTCCAAGGTTTCTAATGGTAGTTTGATTATATTATTCATTATATAGACTATATATATTATGACATTTATAACTACTATGTATGAGACGTTATCTATGTGTAACTGTGGATTTATTATATAAATTATAATTCATGTATGACGTCATCTTTCGAGTTTCAATTGAGACGACTTGCGTAGACGGTGGATGCCATTTTGTTCCCGCCTTTTTCTGTCTATATCAGTAATTCAGTATATCTGCATTCTGCAGTTACCGCCTACCGGCTCCGACAATCCGACCGTTGACTCGGCCAAAACTCGTCTGTCCCCTGTACACTGTACAGGCGTCGTCTGACCTGCTTTATTTTTCAAAGCTGATTCCTATTTATGTCCGGTAGCCGCTTCACGAACAGTCAAATTCCAAAAAACAAAAAGTCAATTTTCCAATGTTTTTAGTCAATTTTCATCAAAATTAGAGTTGTAAATAAGTCGACATGGCCGAGGAGGAGTCAGAATATGAGTCGATCAGGAGGAAAAACCTGGAAGAATTTAAATTGGAGGTAACACTATTATTATTGTTATTATTATTAATAATACTACATTTATTATTATCAAAAATGGCTTTACTTTAATTTTGTAGCTTGGGCATTTTACAAAATAACTCGTTTTGAAATAAAACTGTAATCCCATCAGCTAAAATTGTACAAAAGTTAAACTGGTGGATGACTAATCCCTATAAACAGTGAATATAAATATTTATATAATATAGAATATAATATAAATAGTTCAGTCAAAATAATGCAAAGTCAGCAGCTTGGAGTTGTTTATATTTAAAAATAAACAAACAGGAGGCATCAAATAAGAAACTAAGGCTGTATTATTTTTAGTTTAATTACACTGAAGGGAAATTTGAACGAAAGATGACGTTATATGTTGTTCGAAGCTGGTCTAAAGTGAGTCCCACACTTGCCCGGTACCCGAATCCTAATTGTAAGAATAAGATGAGCGACTAACTGAACTGAGCATGCCCAGTTACAGCTTGGCGGTTATCCGGTTTTGTGAAAATTGTGTGACAGTTAATTAATGATTATTTGGAGATCGTGAGATGCAGTCTGGTGTGATGTAGGTTTAGAAAAACATTTTCTTTACAGTGCTCAATCTTTATTGAGATCATCTTCAGGGCACAAAGTGTTCGTTTTCTGTGTTGATGTGTCATTTCTGTTTGTCGTGTTGATAGTGCCCACCCTACACATCTCACGATCTCCAAATAATCATTAATTAACTGTCACTAAACACCACACATATAACATAAACATAACACAGATCCTAAAACAGGGAATCTCAACGAAACGTGTATTTACACAGTTGTACAAGTTTTTGTTTTATGTAGATCTAATGTGCTGATTACATATTCATATCTGTCAGTTAACCTGATTCCTGATTAGAAAAATAAACTGAGAAATTAATGGAAGAGTTTTTTTGTGTAGTTTCCCCATTTTTCCTCGCTATTGTCGGTATCCTGTTTATGGTATGGGTGAGAACAATTCAACTTAAATAACTGGTTTGAAAAAATAAACTGAGCAACAAATGGAACTGAGCGCATGTAGCAACAACTCAGTTTTTACATTTCGCTCTTTGCAATTATTGGTAGTACTTGACAAAAAGTGGACACAATTTAGATTAAAAATAATAAATGAAAGCTTTTTATCTATAATTTTAATGTTTGTATTTTGCAGTTTGAAAAGCAGTTTGGGAAGATTGAAAAAATTCCCCAAGAAGAGTTTAGTGTTTTGCCAATTCCTAAAAAACCAAGAAAGTACAAAAATGCTGTGGTTAGATCTTCTCTACCATGTCGTATGTCCCTTAGAAATAAAGCGGAAAGGTCAGTCTCTTGCTGTTAAAAAATTTACATACTACTAACATCATAATTAACATAATGCATTATTTTTCAGACCAAATTTGTCACTGGATGAAGCTGAGAATATATTGGAGCACTGTGAATACAAGGTTTGTCGTAAATTTTTTCAATTGAAGTATTTACATAAAAATAGAGAGAGTGTTCTCCCATTGTGGTAGAGGCGTTCTTCATGCCGAATGAATGATGAAACTCAATATCCAGATCCCTTTAATAAGAAATAATCCCTTTCCCAGATGTTGATCTTTTAATTTGTTATTTGTTTAATTATCTAGTATTTAGTGTTATAATATAATGTCTTTGTGTGTAAAATTAGCTTAACAATACACGGAAAAGGAGGGCCATGCCTGTAATAAGTCTGAGACGCATTCCAGTTCCTAATATGAAACTTCCTGAAGAAATTACAGAAAGTGACATAAAAAATATTTGCTATAAATCAGCTGGCAAGAAGTATGATACTGTTAATGGGACAACTTGTCACCAGTGCAGGTAATTGCTATTAGATATTTTTTAGATATATATTCATTATTATGGATTTGGATCTGGATTTATTTAGGCTGAAATCCAAACTTGTATGTACATACATACAAACATGTGCCGAGTGGAGCCTATTCACTTCTTGTAGTCCACTGGTGATTCCAGCATTTGCTATTTACAATAAATTGCTGGCAAACTCGAGAATCACCTGCCCCCTTGTGTTGGCAGTTTGGGGCAGATTTCATTTTTATCCATCCAGCCACCAAGTTTGGGCTGTGGGGGGGGGATGCTCTCAACAGCTATGCCAATTCTGCACCACATTGTTATTCCTAAAAAACAATTATCGAGTAAAGAACAAATAAATAAAAAAAACTTTTTTTGTCCTCTTTAATATTGAATATTTCCACCTCTAGTACGAATCACATCCATTAAATGCTTTGCATTCCTTGGAAAAGAATTTTGATAAAATCCTGAGGAATTCTTTTCCATTCATCAAGAACAGCCATTTCCAACTGTTCTAGGGGGTTAAGTCCTGGGATTCACTGTCGACTTTATGTTTAAGTTGGTCCCAATTATGTTTGATTGGGTTCAAATCTGGACTTCGAGCTGGCCACATCAAGCACTCAATTCCATTATTCACAATACCTGCCCTATGGGGCTTAAATTATCCTGCATTAGCAAGAATCTCTCAACGATGTGGGGGGGGGGTCAGATGGCACTACAGTTCTTTGATTATGACTTCTAAGTACCTCTGTGAAGTTGGAGATCTTCCTCGCACAACATTCAATTGAAAGAAATGCCATTCCAGAATATCACTGACCCACTATGGAATGCCACCGGAGAAACCATACAGCCTGGGGCTTACCTTTCTCCTGAGTGTCTCCATAGAAATTACGCCCATCTGAAGATTTGAGGTGAACTCTCACCTCATCTGTAAAGAGAACTCCAATTTTCCTATGTCTAATTCACATGTTCCCGTACGAATTGAAGCCTGATGATTTCTGAGTTGTGGTAAGAAGTGAGCGAGCCAGGTGCCAGGCCCTGAGTTTTTTTTTCATTTTTTCATTGAGCCTTCTTATAATCCTGAAGATTTCGATAGAAAAAAAGGGAACAAAAGTTACTCACCACTTAACAAAAGTTGTGTATTTTTATTTTGAGTTTTACAGCTGGGTATTGTAGTCTGATGAGGTTAATGAATCCTTGATGAACTCTGAGTTGACATTTTTATTCTTGGACGTGTTTTGGACTCATTTGTGCCCCTTCTCAACAAATTTATACAAACTCTTTAAAAAAATCCTTTAAAAAAAAAACAAAAAAACCGAAGTTTAATTAACATGTATGAAATATTATGTATTTATGAACAAAATACAATTTATCTTGATTAAAAATCTATTATTAAAATAAAATTATTAAAAAAATTATTCTATTTTCAACCTTTCATGAATGGGTACTTCTCAGTAACGGACAAAAACACTTTTCATGGGAAGGGTTTCTCTGTATTACATTAATAGCTCTTTTATATTTGGTAATAAGTAATCTTTTAGGTGTTTCATAAACTATTTCCTGTTTTGTTTTACGTGTATTGCACTTCGCTGTTTAACAAAATTGTTAAATTTAGGCAAAAAACAGCAGACACCAAAAGTATTTGCAGAAGCCCACACTGTAATGGTGTTCGAGGACAGTTTTGTGGGTTTTGCTTACTACATCGATATGGTGAAGATGTAGCTATAGTCATTAAAAAAGAGGTGAGCCAATTAATTTTTATATTATTTTGAAATGAATGTTAATATTACTAGAGACTTGATTAAACTAGTTTAATTTTCTCTTCATTAATATTTATGTAAACATCAGATTTGCTAATTATACCTTAGATATGCTTGTTTGATAATTTTTTGTTATTGGCCTATCAGTAATCATAATTTTCATAATTGTAAAATGTTATGACATGCCACTATGTGGTTTATTTTCTATTTACTGTTGTAGTCAAAATTGTTGAGGTCAAAAATAACATCCTCCAGCTTAGTCAAAGGTGAAGTTTAGCTTACTAGAAGTACAGTGAAATTGTAAGCTTCGCATTACTCTTAATTAATTAATATTTATGAAAGGTATTGGTCAAGATAAAAGAGTCACGAGCGGGATTTGAACCCACGATCTCCGGCTAAATACGCTACTGCTCTACCACTTGAGCTATCATAACTTCGATCCGCTTGGACACCAACTTCCCTCTCAACCCCACCTTTTTGAATTTTCCCTCCCTTTTGCCATTTTTTTGGTGGGGTCGGAGTGGATCGAAGCCACGATAGCTCAAGTGATAGATTTAGCCGAAGATTGTTGGTTCGAATCCTGCTTGTGACACTGAGTTTTTACCTCAACCTATACCTTTCATAAATATTAATTACTTGAAAAATGTTAATTGGTCAATCGGACCACGAACTGTAATGGATTTAATTGCTCTTAATAGTGTTTGTTTATGGAATATATGCACGTATTATATGTATTATCATAACCAATTTAACTTTATTTGCTTAGTGGTGTACAGTTTTTAAATTGCTTATTGAACTATTGATAAATACGCTTTTGGTTAGTTAGAATTTTTAACAAATGTCAGTTAAAAAGGTTTATTAATTTTTATGTGCCAAGTAAGGTAGAAAATACCATTAAACAAAAACGGTTGCTGATTTCATTGTTACGTAATTTCAAAGTAAACGTACTGACTACATTTTTTTTTACTAAGTTGTACTACATACTTGTAACTGTTTGAACAATTTGTTCAGCATAAACTTTGCTTCTTGAGGCATTACAAAATTTAACATTCGAAACTTTTGTTAAAGGATTGGAGTTGTCCTCCTTGCCGCAACATTTGCAACTGTTCAATCTGCAGGACTAGATTAGGGAAGAGGCCAACAGGAATTCTTGCCCCTCTAGTTTTGAGTAAAGGTTATTCTAATGTGAAAGATTTTCTGTTCGAAAAAGAACCCCTAGATTCTGATGACGAAGTTCATTCATCCAGTGATGAAAGTGACTTTCTTGGTTTTTCTTGTAGTGATGATGAATCAGATTTTGAAGGATTTTAAATGTGTTTTGTTTAAATGTGATAGCGGATTACATTACAATTTGAAATGTTCTTGTTTTATTCATGATAACACTACACACTTCCTATTCATTAAAACAAAAATTTTAAATACCAAAAATACTCATTCCAATCAACCTGTCAACTATTATTTTTGTTGTTTGTGTTTTTATTTTTTTATATTAAAAATCAATGTAGTTATATTATGTAAATATTAAGTGATCCGTGTTTCAAAATTGATTATTAATTTGTAAACGGAAAACTCTGTAAATATTTCATTTTAATTTGCCCCACCTATGCTGTAATTTCTGTCAACATGAATCTTTTTAAAAATGTTTTTGGATCAAATCCCATCACTTGTATTATATTTTAGTGTTACCAAATAATAAATTATAATATAATTTTTTTTTATTTTATTATTTATAAAAATACTTTCCTATGTATTTTCCAATAGTAATTTTTATTATGTTGTTATTTTGTTAAGTTTTTTTTAAATTACACAGTAAAACATTCACAATGTTTCGGTCTCTTTTGTGCCATAGTCTTGTGGCATTTACCCTTGGGGTTTGTGGGATGATGAACTTGTAGTTTGGTTTTTTCGATCATTTCATATACTTGCTGTCAGAATTTTTTTAATCTTCTTGCCATATTCAATATTTTTTATACATATATGCATGGTATATGCACATAGGTAAACCAAATTTAAATATTTAAAGTAAAGTTTCTTGTTAATATGCAATCACGGTATTGATCTTTTATTTGATTATTTATGTATAGTTGGTGTGAATATTATAATTAGTAGGTTCAAAACCTGCTATTTACGATGGTTAACACTGCTATATTTTCTGGCTAGTCTAATCTAATAATTATACTTCACAGTATATAATTAATGATATCTTTTGAAATATGTATAACAATTTGGTGATTGTGCGATTTCTAGCATATTAATTCACATATGGTTTCACATTTCAAGCTTCATAACCATTGCGGCTCAATTACAAAATATCAGCTACTTGTGTACAAAGTTTGATTGCTTTGAGGGAGCTTTAACCATGTAAGATTTTTTTAACAAAATTTTTGAAATCCACGTTAGAGGAGAGTACATGCAGGTTGGTTTAAGGTTATTACATGTTATCCATGATTTAATGTTTTTCGACAAAGCAGAGAAAATATGTACATGCAAATTGGGAGTTATAATCTCAAATATATCAAGACAGCCCAGAAAAATGTACATTTTTATTCGAGTTTAAATGTAATTTACATTATAAATTTCAAAGTTAAAATGTTTAAAATCTCGAAATTTCTTGTTTAATTATTTTTACAGACTAAAAAATATTTTTGGAAAAATAGGAAATTTTTTATAATTGTAATTGGTAGTAGGCAGAGATATGTGTTTATAGGGAATTATTAATTACAAGTAACGAGTTGAAAAACAAAATTCTGATTACTTTTGTTGTTGGTTCTTAAATTTATGTCTTAAAACAAAATTTGATTTGAAAATTACAAGCTGAAATATGTAACAATATTGGGTTAATACCATACCATATGGAATAAATAACAATTTTTGATAAATTATTTATTTATTGTCTTGCTTCAAATAGCATTATTTTTCTCTTTTGTTTTCTGTTTTTCAAGGTTACGAAAAAAATCACCTATGCTGGACCTGAAAAATAGACAAATAATGAAAAAAATAATTGAGTAAGTAAATATAATAATTAAACACATAATAATTAAATTTGATTAAATGTTATAAATGCCATGATTACCATGTTTCTTTGGTGACGAAGTAATGTTCATTTGGTATTGGATAGCCATTAAAGTTCATACTTAGAGGTATTGAATAAGCCCCCATTTCAGTGAACATAAGCCAATCACCCACATTCATTTCAGGTAGGAGACAATGGCTTGAGACTAAATCCAATTGGCGATTTGTTTGGCCCCAAATGCAACAATTTTTCAATGGTCCTTGCTGCACTCTCTGTTCAAAGGAATATACCTTTTGTATTTTTAATTAATTGTGTTTAAAAAGGTTACATTTATGTTGGCTGAGGAAATATTATTTATTTTAATGTAATTTTCACCGACAAACAAGTTTCCAGCTCAGTTAGTTTCAAACTGATTTTGTAGGAATATTAGCAAGATGTGCTGTACAACCAGAAGCTATGACCTACTATAAAATAATATATTTTCAAAGAAAGCAATTGGAATTTGTTGAGATGAATGCTTTTAATGTTTTATCAAAGGCATTTAAAAAAGTCAACCAATTTGGTTAATTTTACTTAACTATATCATCAATACCTTAAATGGGGTTGGATACTTTATTATATTCTCTGTAGGTTTACAGTTGAAGGAACTGTATATCCCATCATTTATGTAGTATTGTATCTTACTTCCTTCTTCTTTCATGCCGTTAATACTTGTTAGAAGTGTATAAGCACTCCAGACGAAGAATCTTCCTGGTTCAGCAATTACTCTTATTCCTTTAAGAACTTCCCTTTCTTCATGCAATGCTTCATTTATTAGTATTGACATCTGCAATCAAAATAAAACAAATTTAAAAAAACAAAAACAGCCTAAATGTGTAAATGATAAAACAAATGTTTTACCAGGTAGGTATTATAAAACTAAACTAATTAAATTAAAATAATTAAATGCGTCATTAAAAATAAGTCGGGTCAGTTTTTTAAGTATCATCTTACGTAGTTAAGTGCTCTCTCCCTAATCCGGACTTCAGTACTCTGAACATTCCAATAATCCGAACCAAAAGAGAGAGATTCAGAGAGCCAGACAGAGAGAAAGAGAGGGAGAGTGATGCAGAGAGGGAGTGTGAAGAAAGAGAGAGAAAAGAGAGACATTCTGTGAACAAGTGTGAGGGAGGGAGAGAGAGAGCGAGTGAGTAAGTGAGAGAGAAAAAGAGTGAGTGATAGAGAAAGAGAGAGACAATAAGAGGGAGAGTCATACGAAAGACCGTGACCAGCTTATACTATGAATTTTCAAGAATTTCTTTTGTTCAGTGAATCCTTCACATCCCTTCACTACTAAAACATAAAATGTTAGATCAGTTTACATTTTTCTTGTGTTAAGTATAATATATATATCTACCTACTTCTTAAAAATGAGGAAAGAACCAATGAAGAAAATGTTAAATAAATAAAAAAAAAGAAAGAAAAATAGATAGTATATATAAGTATTTTAATAGGTTTAACATTTTGTGAATTCAATAATAATAAAGTGTTAGGTTGAAATCGTTTTTTGTACATACGTATGTATTTTTTAACACCCTCTTTGATCCGAATTTTTCAGTAATACGAATACCCCTTGCAATGATTAGTTGGGATTACTAGAGAAAGCACTGTATTTGACATTTTTGGGTAGAATAATCTGACCAAAAGATAAGTTGCAATAGTATCATTTTCCTTGAATTTAACTAGTACATTTCACTCGATTAGTATATGCATTTAAAACATAACATAAACTTTTTGAACCAAATTAAAAAAAAAAAATCTTGTTCTTGTAATTTGATAAATTTATAGAACAGTCATTTGTTCTCTGTTTCTATTTTATTAATAATTTGTATAAAGTATTAAAATGGCTACTCCAGCATTGTGACAGGTGGACCTTATTTCTACAATTTCGGTTAATTTATTTTAAATTACAATTAAATAGTCCACCACTTAGCACTTTAGTACATTTGTTTTTGACAGTATTAATACTTAAAAATTCTGTATATGGCGTATTTGAATTTTGAAATGTTCTTAAAGTGTAGATGTTTATAAAGAAATTTCACACACATTCTTTCCTAACCCAGTGTTGTGAAAATTTGATTTTTGTTAAACATTTCCTTTCTTTTTGGCATGTTACTGGATGTTAAAATGATTGAATGTGATTTTTTAAATGTTCCTGTAGGTTCTTTATCGTGCTGCTTTTTTTATATTTTTATTTATTTATTTTTTCTTCTGTTAATACACGTATGTAGAGTTTTATCTTGTAGTGTTGAAATTTTACAAAAATGTGAGTTAAATTGTTTATAAACAATGTGCCTTTTGAATGTGTAATATAATACAAAAATAAAATAATGCTAAAATTATGGATGATTTATGACAAAAATTGTATAAAAATAAGTCAGTTTAAAAAATCAATTATCTAAACGTAATGTAAAAAATAGTGTAATCAAAACACTCACTTCTGAAAACTGAAGAGAATCATTTCCAGAAAAGCCTCCTCCGATGTCTAGCAGGCTAAGAGAAACATTGTTCTCTTTAGCTTTTTTAATCAAATTGCATGCAATGTGGATTGCCCTTGCATAAGCACCCACTTCCCTGCATCCACTACCAACATGAAAAGAGATTCCTATCACTTTAAGCCCCTTGTTGATGGCTGCCATGATAAGATCCAAACCCAATTCTGGATCGCAGCCAAATTTTGTGCCCAAAGGTACAGAAACATCCAGCGCATCTGCTCTTATTCTTAGCACCATACTAAAAGCATTGATACAATTTGAGTTTATTTTGTAAAAAAATATCTTTAAAATTTATACATACTGGGCTAATGGGTAGTGTTCTTTTATCTTATCAATTTCTGAAGCATTATCATATGTCATCATGCGTACACCATGTTTCGCTGCGTAATCAAGATGACTTAGCATTTTTGCTGGGTTTGCATATATTATCCTGTCAGGGCTAACTCCCACAGACAGCACTTTTTTAATTTCCGACTGTAAAGGCTTTTGTTTAGAAAGATATTATTGAATCATACAAATAAAATTAATCAACCTTTGATGCACAATCAAAGTTACAGCCAAGAGCAGCTAGGGTTTTAATGACCATAATCGAGTGATTGCATTTAACTGCTAGAAAACAGAAGAAATTCCTTGTTAAAATAAGTAGAAATGGATATCCAAGAAATTATTTTTGGGTGATTATAATTTTTCACTGCCCTGCACATTTTCTCAGACTTATTACATTTTAGTCATATCCAGATACTTTATTTAGATTTATAGCCCTAGAGAACAATTGCATGTTTTCCTCAAATTACATCTGTACAAACTTGGATCTCTCTTGATCCGTTTAACTCAAAAATAGAAAATTTTCTGTTGGTTCTTAAAAGTAATATGTGAGCTGGTACACTTTCTAAATTGGTCGGAACCACCAATGAAACTTTCTCCAAGTGTAATTTTTAAGATGAAAGAAGAAATTGTTTACTTTTTAGCCCTCTCCCATAGAATAATGTTACTTTCATTTTGCCCATAATTTGTTCTTTAGCAGTATTAATACACTGTTTTCAATATTTGATTAGTTTTGTGGGTTTTAAGTTAAAAACACAAATGATAATAATCACTGTAAAAGTAAAAACAATTAATAAAAAAGTTAATTTAATAATGGTTGAGATGTCTCATTTCAAAAATTTTATTGTGATATCAATTTAAAAATATCCATCCAACTTCAGACTGATAATATATTTCCAAGTCATAATGTATTTTTTATTGGTTTGTTTTGTTAGTTTGTTTTTTGTTACTATTTGTTTGCAGTCTTTTCTTGAACGCAAAACGATATTGTAGTAAAGTATTTTTTACTGTGAAATAGACAACAGTGTAATTTTTGGATTGTCATGTTTATCTAAACCTTACAGTTGTTGGAAAGGTTAAGCAAATTCAGAACAAGTTTTTGCATCACTGTGTAGTAATGAAAGTGACATATTTATTTTACTAAGGACATTGTCTTTTCACACAATCATGTAGAATATGCTCAATTCTTTATTACTTTGCTCTTGTTAGTGACTTATTGGTAATAAGAATCAATTTGATATACATCTTGTAATGTTAGAATTTTAGTTACTATATGTGATAGATCAAATTATTAATTTCTATATTACGATATTTTAAGTTTCTTAGGCAAGTCAGGGTGTTAAGTAACAATAAACTATTTACCATAGAAAGGAGTTACAGTTGGTAAATTGGACCTCCATTCTTTGTATTTTGTTTCCAATGTTGTTAAGTTCAATATATAAAAGGAATCATCCTAAATTAAATAAAAACAGTATATTAGTGTATTTGAATAAATGAAGATATTAAGCTTCAGGTGGTAATAACAGCTAGGTTATTTCAACCCCAAATGCATTCACTTTTTAATTTTAAACTTGCTCACACGCTCACTTATTCTTAAATACATTCTTTTCTATTTACATACTGTTCTCTCAATTAGTGGAATACTTTACTTGATATTCTTCCATCACACATGTTGCATAACTAATGTAATTGAAGGCTGATACCGTACTTAATATTCCGCTGTCAGCCTTCTCATATTCACTAATAACATTCACTCTCAATATAAAAGCAAACATAAAACAAAATATCTGCTAACATCTCTAGCTTTTTTCTGTCAAATTAACCCCTTTTTTAAAAATAAACCTCTTTGATTTCGAATTAACCTTTTTTTATTTCAAATTAACTTTATTTAATTTCAAATTAACCTTTTCTTTAAAGCATAACAAAAACTTAGGAGATGGTATGAAATATAAGTATGTAATTCTTGTATATTTGCGAAAATTAATTACAATTAAAATTAAATATAAATACAAATGATTTTTCTATTAATCTGAGATTTACTAAAAATATAAAACAATTATTTTATAGGAAATAATTATTTCGTATTTTCCTACTCCTCCAACTTAATTCCTGCAAATTCTGTGGCTTCAGTGGGGGCCACTTTTTACTCTCTTTAACAACTCGTCACAAAGGTATTCGATATGGTTTAAGTCGGGACTAAATTATCTAAGATAATCAATGTCTAAGAGATAATTAAAAATATTAAGGGTGGCCACTTTTTTGTGCTTTTCTGTGTATACACAGTAAAACAACCCTTTTCCTCAAAAAATCGGAACAGAGGACTCAAATACTCTGCCACCCACAAGCAAAATTTTCATATTAGCTGGCAATAAAACAACCTTGTTTCTTCTAAAAATCAGAACAGGGAACCAAATACCCTGCAGTGTTCAAGCACAATTTTCATATCAGCTGGCATTCCTACGCTCTCTCTACATGGAGCCAAGGAATGGCACCCTTCAGCTAAATGAGGCGTACTGAGGCTGACTGAAGCTTGCCTTTTACTATATGCCGGACATGTACGGCTTTGGCTTAAAAGTAAGTGCCTATCCTTAATCAAATGAGGATGACTCTTCTTCTATGCGTCACGACCCATCAACAGTGCTAATAGATGAATTTGTTGATGTACTTGTTATGTAATTAAACTTGTTTTTATATGTAATTTTAATTGAAATTAATTTTTTTTCTAAGATCTCAATTATTTTATATTAAAAAAATTCACAAATATACAGGAATTCTATTCTGTTTTCTAATCTTTTTTTAATGCTTTAAAGAAAGGGTTGATTTGAAATTAAAAAGGATTAATTTGATGAAAAAAGCTATATGTACAATAAAACAACCCTTTTCCCTCTAAAAATGTGAACTTGCATGAGAAATGTATGCTATTTTAACATGCTTATTGTAGATTAAAACAATTTTGTTTCAAAAAAATATGATGACTGTATGTTTTATAATTAGTTTGTACATTTATATAATTATTGTTGCCATAAGAGTTGTTTAATTTCTTGGAATTGCGGTCTAGAAGACATCTTACCTGCTTTTGTATTACATGAGTCATATAATCTCTTATCTCAGAGTTGGATTTAATTATATTAATCCCACATTCAGTTTTCATTGTATTAATTTTTTTCTGTAAAGAAAATAAATGTCTTTTAAGACAATGTTTCAATAAATAAATTTATTTATAAATAGAACAAAACAATCAAAAATCCATTTTTTAAGCTTCCAAAACACTTTTTAAAAATAATTATTTAATTTTCTAAATTTATTGTCAGTTTTTTTCAAACTAACTTCTGTTCCCTGTTTGATCACCTAGGTCGTCCTATTGATTTGCTTGGATTATTTAATTTATTAATTTATATGGAGTTTTTGAGATAGTCAAGTTTTCTGTTCCTTCCGTACATCATTATAACAAGTCAAAAAAGTGCCTTTACTGCTGGTTTGGGCCCACCACAGTAAAACAAACTATGGAAAAATGCACAGCTCCATACACTGTGAATAGGTTGACCAGGGACAATCACAGAAGCGTAAACATCTGATGATGGCATATGATCGAAATATTTCTGAGTGAGAGAAGACTACATTTAGTATGAAGGCTTGATGATTGGGGGGGGGACTTTAAACTATTCGACATAAATATAAAAAAATTTGGCCAATTAAAAAATTGTTTATTATTAAATCCTACATCACATTGTTTTGTTAATATCAGTTAACTATAGAAATAAGGCTGAGTAATCAAATCATCATCATTATCATTCATTTGAACCATCTTTTTCAACCAATCAGTTTTTTATTGTTAATAATGATGACTTCATTTAAAAATATAATCTAAGATATGCTACTATTTCATAGACCAAGTGATTTTCCACATCCACTTATTAACACAAAATTTAATCAGTAAAAAATGAAAAATTCATCATGAAAATGAAACTGTCTTATCTGCTTTTTATTTGAATTTAAGTTGGCTGACAATCCGAACCAAACAGGGATACTTTTAAAATCCTTTTGAAGTTAGTTCTTTAGAGAGGTTTGTTAATCATACTTTAAATTCTACATTCTCTAAAAAGCAATATAAATGCTTGTTAGTTCTTCGATAATATTTTATAAATCGAGAGCATAATCAGTATTCATCATTTTTTATTTCAAGAAAAAGTATCTTACAGTACTTGATTTTTTTTTATGAAAGGCCCATCTCACAATCTCCAAATAATCATTTTATGAAAGTATTTAATTATAAAATACATTTTGCTGAATCATTTATATCAACTCATTATTCTAAGGTTCCGCAATCAAATTATTTATTATATATTTATTCTTACCTCTCAGTTGTATATAAGGTTTTTTTTAATAGACAAACTTCCTGAAAAGATGAATTCACAACTGAAAGAATTTTACAGGAAAATCTCGCTGATTTATTTATAACCATAATTCTTTACATGTTTTATCTAAACCTTATCAGAAAATGGCATAAAAGCATTAAATTTAAATTAAACTTGTATACCTTGAGATTATAGTTTATCCCATAAATCTCTATCCAGTCGTGAGATAAATTCAATAAAATGGAAGAAAATACGATTTATAAATAGCATAGGCTATTTATAAATATTAATTTATAAATATATTAATTTTGATTTTCTTTTTTTCTTTTTTTATCTGTCATAAAAATTTAAAGAATCAATTTTTCTCTCTGAGAGTATATTATTTTTAAGGGATATTTTCTCTCAGATCAAAATAGGGCCATAAAATCCAACTTCTTTAATATAATTTTCAATGTGCAGTGTTTAGTGACAGTTAGTTAATGATTATTTAGAGATCTTGAGATGCGGTGACACATCTACACAGAAAACACACAACTTTGAGCCCTGAAGATGATCTAAATAAAGATCGAAACGTTGGCACAGTAAAGAAAATGTTTTTCTAAATCTACATCACAAAAGACTGCATCTCACGAACTCCAAATAATCATTAATTAACCGTCACTAAATACTACACGCTTTGATTAAACCTAAAATTTCTATATTGTGTACATCTTTGTATAAATTCATTTTCACATCTTGCATGTAATTGTATAATTTAAACAATGTTTATAAATCCCAGGCCCTGAAGATGATCTCAATAAAGATCGAAACGTTGGCACGATAAAGAAAATGTTTTTCTGAAACCCACATCATACCAGACCGCATCTCACGATCTCTAAATAATCATAATTTTCAATTTTCTTCTTTTGTTTTACTGAAAACAGACTTTAAAAAAGTTTTTTTATTAAAATACAATAAACTATAAAATCTATCATTCATAATTAAAATAATCGTGTAATTGGATATTGAAAAAAATAAATAAACAAATAAAAAATAGGGTTTTAATAAAATAGTTAATATTTATGATTAATATTAGTGTACTTTAAATCAAATTTATCAAAATCTAGAATACATTAAATAGATTATATAGGAGCTGGCCTCTATGACCTGTGCAATGCAACCAGTATTGGTCTATTAAACACTTTTCAAACATTTTCACAACACTTTCACACAACACCAATTGACACCACAAGAATAGCTACATACTTTAGGTGAATATGTAAGACTTGGTTCACAATTTATATTTACAATTTAAATTGTATTTTTTCTAACCAACATATATATTGTAAATTACTCAGGCCCTGAAGATGACCTGAATAGAGGTTGAATCATCGGCAAAAACTGAAAAAAAGGTGTTTTTCTAAACTACCTCATTCTTGACCGCTCCTCACGACTTCAACAAATTAAAAAAAATTTTCTCCAAATATCGTAATAATTCAATCCATATTTGCTTTGTGGTCGTAATTGACCATATTAATTATTCCAATTAATTATTCTTTTTATCTAAGGTTTTTGTTGAGATGAAAAATTGATGAAAAATCTCGCTCGTGACACTATTTTTCATCTCAATCAAAAACCTAGATAAAAAGAATAATTAATTATAATAATAATTGAATTGGGGGTATAGCTATTAATGATATGGAAAGAATAACTTTTATTTAGAGATAGATAGATAAACATGGGGTGGAGCTTAGGAGAGTTGTTCAACAGACTTCTTATGTTATTATGTATTTACTTACATCAAAAAAGTGGTCTCTGCTAGCTGGAGGGAGGCACACAAATGGCCAGGAGGTTTGCTTTTTTTTCCGGAACTCAATTCCTAGTTCGTGGTGAGAAAGGGGAGAAGATAGTTATTTGAATGAAATTAGTTTTCATTATCACTATAATAAACAATAGCAAAAATTTACATTTCAGATTCGGAGACAAATGCATTATGCACACTGATTATTCACAGTAATATCTGTACAAAACAACTTTCTTTCTGATTTGGGCAATAACTCTTTCATAGATTCATGACACATTGTTTTATTTTCATTGCTTTTAGAAATATGTATCGTATGACAGCTTTTACACTTCTAATTTGCTAGTTTTGATGTATCTACCCAGGGCATATATCTCTTTATTTTATACCATACCCATCATGATACTACATTTTGTGGTAGAGTGATGTTTTTGTGCTTAATGTGTTTATCAAGACCTCTCTTCCCTCCGAGGTAAGAGGGCAGGATAGCAGCACACGCTTCTACGTTGCAATCACATGTTGGCATGATGTGAGAGACTATTGTGCAAAAAAGTTCATGAAAGAACAATGGTAGAAACTAATGACAGAACTACTAAATCGAGTATGTGTTAAGACTAGAATAATAACTGGACTCCAGCTTGACTCCAGAGGCCGCAGAATTCAGAGTGGCAGAAACAAATCTGTGTAGATATTGCCAGGAAGAAGAGATAGCGGAACATGTGTTAGTGCACAGTTTTATGTAGGCTCAGATTCCTACTCCTGGGAGAGGAAAAGTTCAGGCCTGAAGAGGCCATGGGTGCCCTTGAAAAACTTTGAGATGTGTGACAAAGCATTTGGCTTAATGAGGAGCTCTAGACAACAATGGAAATGCACTATAGACCAATCTTGGTCGCGGTGCGCAGGTCATAAAAAGGCCGACTCCTGCTCTAACCTCAACTTTAATTTATGTTCACGTTCTCATGTTGCTTCCATATACTCAAAATTCATGTATTCTTATTAGGGTGTAATTGGTTGACATTGAGCTATTGAATTGAGCTCACTTTCAACTTCAAATCGACCATCAATATCATTGAATTCTTTTACCACTTCTTTGAATTCATTAAATATGGATTTATTACAAATACTGACTAATCTAAATATAAAGCAAAGCTAAGGCAAGTTTGCATTATAAACTTCGAACACAGTCCCAAACTCAGGCACAAAGCTTAACAATTTTGGTCTTTTCATAATTTTATAAAAAATTGTTCACCTGTCAACTCCACTTTGCACATAAAGTGCATCGAACTAAGTTCTTCATTGAAAACACTTCAGCCATCCACTACTTCATGTATTAGCTAGGTAACAGGTAACAGGATTTTTCAATATTTTATTCAAGTTAAATTATCCCAGCAAAATAAAATAGAATTCTATTTTGGAAAAAGGGAGAGTTTAATTTTATGACCGTGGAATAAGGAAAAAGTGGTTGTCTGGCTGGACCCACCTGGCATTGGTGCCTTGCTGATCCTCAGAACGACAAATCCTGCCATTAATTCGATATTCATTTATTGATTTGTATATCACATTTTATTTTGAAAAACAATTTAGGATACATTTAATGCTTACGAGGCTTGATTTTCTGCCTCTGACATGTGGTTCTTCCTCCACTTAGCTTTTATCCAATACCCTAAAGCATTTTACCTAACTTAACAAGTTCCTAATATAAGGCTTATTTTTATTTTTGTACATTTTCTTCAGCATGATTTTTTTTTTTTAATGATGCTTTGCAATTCTCTTAGTCTCTTGTTTCTTCATTGAATCTCTTTTGGAGAAAAGACCCATTCAGAGGCCTCTGACATGTGTCTTCCTCTTCTTTGCTTACCCAGTACCTTGCTTACTGTAACTTATTGGCTTTTTCTTTTCAAAAGAGGCTTCTCAGTACCTAGGAGAGTCAGGGTCTTGTGTGAAAGTCACACCAACCTGGTTGTCCCCTTGTTAGATTTAAGATCACACAAAAATAGATTACACGGGAGAACACCTTATTAACAACAATGTATTCATAATTTTTTAATTATTGGTAATATAAGACTAAGAAATAGTTATTAAATAAATTGGCTCTCATTTTACACCAAGCTGATATGATGCCATTTATTTTTTTTTTATTTTAATGGTGATTAATATACTAATAATAAAACTCGCCATTGTGTAAAACAATAATTATTAGAAAAAAATATGTTACAAAAAAGTTTATTTCTGTAATCCCTACATGTCTCAAAAACTCAAAAGTTTGCAAGCACAGTCGCATTGTCCAAAATTAATAAAAAGTCTTTTATGCTATTAACAAAAGTTTTGTAATATGATATTCTACCTAGTGGGAAAATAAAGTACTTACCAAAGCAATAATAAGAGTACTTGTCAAGCCAAGGAACGACTAAAAAACACTCAATTGTTAAAATAATCTATTTTTACAAAACCGTTTTGTTACAGTAGTGTATAGGGTGTATGCGAATGTATACACATTTTTTATACGTAAATCTAAGTTTGAGATGACAATTTCATTAGACTTACTGTTAGTCAACTTGGAACTAGGTTCGCAATAGTTAAGTTATGGCAGGTTTAATTACAGAATATAAACTCATTACCACAGTATGCCAAACAATATACTTACATTTTCCTTTGTAACTAAGATTATTAATGACAAAGTATGAAAATCTTTTGTATTTTTTATACATTTACCCAATAATATATATATTTTTTAATTTTTTTTTAAAGTTTTAATTTACATTATTTAAAAATGGTATAATCCATCACATTGATTAACAACATTGTTCCAATATTGGTTAAATTTGATATGTTTAAACATATTTAGTAATCATGAATTTAACCATTCATGATTTAAGCAAGAACTTGCAGTTGCCCTCTGCTCAGGGTCAAATGCTAGCATAGGCGAAAGAAATGCTGAAAACGATAGAGCCTCTTGTCGACTCCAATGATATTTTTCAGTCAAAACTTCATATAAGCACCATGGTTTCAAACTATCTATGTGCAGCAATTCTCCTAAAAAGAAGAAAAAATTAACTAAAATAAATAATAAGAAAAGATAAAAGTTTTGGTTTAGAAAACAAAATATTTAGTGGAAGGTAGAAGGTTTGACGAAGTTTGTTCACATCTGCATTATTATTTGTGAATGAATAAATCACTCAAAATCCAGCATTAAAGAAACATCCACCGATCAATGATATCTGATCAAAACATAAGGTATAGGCGGATCAGGATGATTAACATGCTGACAAGTATATAATCGGTTCAAAAGGAATGGTTTACTTAAAATTATCTATTTACCAGATAATTTGAAAAATTGGTCAGAATATTTTCCTGAGTTAATAATATATCTTGGAATTGGTCCTAACAGCTCAATTATGTGAGCCAAATGGTCTTCATCTCTGGTGTAGTCCTGATTGGCTTGGGGTTCAAATAAATAGTCTCCTGTGGCTAATTCAAATGCCTGTTAAATAGAAAAAAATAGGCTTAATATTTAAAAAAAATATTAAAAATTAAAATCTTTTAGCCATTTAATTGATTAAAAATGGAAAGAAAAAGTAATAACCAAGCAAGCTGTACTCCATATATCAGCTGCAGTTCCATAACCCGCACCAATTATGACCTCTAGACTCCTGTATTGCCTAGTTTGGATCGCTTCACAAAAATGGTGGTCCTATAAAAAAATAAATAAATAAACCAAGCTGTTATTATGAATTTGTAAAATGAAACCTCTCTTGAAATCCTTCGTTTAAATAAAACTCAATCCTTTACATATTTTGTATGGTAAGGCATCAAATTTGTCACCCATAGGCAAAACACACGATTAATTCAGGTAATGCAATGCTTAGAAACCACTTTACAAGAATTTTTTTCAAATTATCATCAATTAAAAAGTCACATGCTATGTCGGGATTTGAACCCAGAACCACTGGTTTGGCAAATGCGAATTAGATACCCTAACCACTCGGCTACCTCGGTCCTAGTTTGAGTAGTTGAATGTTAAGCCCTCTTTTACTTTAAGATACTTAAAAGTGAACTATACTAGCCATAGACAGATTTACTTATATAAAGTCACTGATTGGAAGACAAATTATTGTGAAAGGCGACAAACATACTGCTTCCCTATTCTTACGGGAAGGGAGAAGAAACGAACAAGACTGACTACTTTGCACACTACCTAACTAGATTATTTTCTGTCTATCCTCACTGACAACAGTGAAAGAAGAACTAGACTCTCTTCTTCCTCTTTCCTTCCAGACCAATAGCCTTCACTTCTTTCAAAGTGAAGTACACGATCAAACATCTCTTCCAGAAAAGCTTTCACTTTCGACTTCATAACTTCACAGATACTTAAATTCACTTCAAAAGTCTATTTGCTCTTTGGAAATTCTATCTTAAAACTAATTCCTCAGTCACAAAATTAGTAAGTGAATGGTTCCAAAATCTCTAAATCCTGGGGAAACACAATATAGTACCAGGACCCAAAGTATTTTGGGTAACGAAAAAGCAGACAAACTGGCCCCAAGACATATAAAGGCCCTGTACCTATTCTTGGGTTAACAAAAACGAACACAGAATCCTCCTTGTATCACAGAATGGATCCAAACAACAAAACAAAAAGAGAAGTGGATAAACTCTAGGGGCACTAGACACAGTAAACTTTTGGTAAAACAACTCTCACCAAAACTGGCAAACTCACTGCTGCAATCAGAGGGTCAAACACAGAGGATGGATAGGACTATTAACCGGTCACTGGCAACTGAGAAAACATCTACATAACATGGGCATATTTGATGATGATCCCATTTGCACACTATGCAATGAGGAGGAAGAAACAGCCACCCACATCATCTTCGTATGCGAAGCACCGGCTCAATAGAGACATAACCTAGGTAAAGGAACTGTACCAACGACAGCCAGTATGTAGTTACTTCTTGAGGGATAGAGTCAATTGCACTGAACTAAGGAACTAGGAATGTACAATAAGCCAGAAGGCTGCAGTAATTGGGAACAACCCCCCACCACTTTCTAGCATCCACCACCATCTACATCATCGTCAATTCCTAAGCCAAACAAACCCTCACATACATCATATCTCAATCCATCAGTTTATTATCTTTTCCTGGCTTCCTAGAGAAAGAAACTTCTCCTTAAACATCATCTTACGGACACTACTACATCTGTCACTGTGTTCTAGAAATCATAGCCTCTTCCCTTGAGCTTAAAGCTACTGCAAGCGTTCGATATGGCATGATTTTATTTAACCTCACGTTTTTTCTAGATATATCTTCCACTTTCTAGGGCCATGCATTCTCTCCAATCATTTCAGTTAACGCTGGCGACACTCAAGGTAGTATCCTAGGCTCCATACTTTATTTAATTTACACCAATTATATCCTTAAATCTCCTAAGTTATGTTTACATTTTTTAATACAATCATAATAATAACCCTGTCCACAGAACTATTCAAACCCTTCCTTGCTGGAAGAGTGGTATACCAAAGAGGAAGATTAAAAGAAACGAGAGCAAAAGTAAATCTTTAACTTTTACACTTTGACGAATCACTATGTCATATCTACATGAACAACATATTCTTCTTTGATGACTCTGTTACTTATCGTACAGTAACACCATCATCAGGACTGTTTCTGAACTGACAAATGACATGGAACACCTTCACTAGGCTAAAAAGGCTGAAGCCAAAAATTCGTCATGGATTAACAAAAAATTTACATACAATATTGCAATAAAGCGATTAAATGGACTAAACCTTTAGGGTTTGGCTAAACGTTCCGATATCCATTGAACCAAACCAACTAGACCAAACAATCCGTAGTATACATATCCGATCTTACAATCCACCCAGACTTATTACTTTTGTCCATGTGGGAAGAACTAGATACTTAAAATTCATTAAACCCTTTCCAGTCAGTAATTCCCTTGAAACCAATCTGATTCATCCACTTCCAAATAATGCCACCAAATTTTCAAAAAGAACAGTAAAGAAGAGCAACTAAACATTTTCTTAAATATGGCGAAATTTATATCTAAGTTGCTATTGATAATATTACTTCACATAACATAAAAATTAACTTACAATCCAACAACTGTTTCCCAAATCAGCTATTTTCACTAGCATTTCATTTTTAGAGTAATCGCAGGATAAAGCAGTCTTTTGCTCTGAAACAAAATCAAACAATTTTTAATATTCTTATATTTAAACAGTGGATTTAAGATCGAATTTAAAAAGTTCAATTGTAAATGATGAATCCAGTCATTATGAAATTATTTTATAATCTTTAATTAACACATCGAATATAAATTCCTTTAAAGTATATGGTGTAAAACAGCAGACTAAATTGTATTAATCAGTGAATAAATAAAACTATTTCATCAATGAATAATAAATAAAATATCTACAAGGTGATAGACTAATAATAGAAGAGAATCTAATAAAATAATGCTACTACCATACCATACAACATTCCGAAGTGCAAATCTAGATGATTTTTTAATTAGTGTAAAAATGTTCCAGAGATCCTTGTGTAGAGGGTGCACATGTGTGTAGATCCTTTTGTATGTTGTTTCTTTATTGGTACATTGAGAAGGGAAGAAAGATATCTCACAATTGGGTGAAGGGTGTTTACAAGTAGTTATTCAATAGAAAAAAAAAAACTCAAACAATTTCATCATTTGAGAAATTAAATTTTGTTTTTATCTTTTTTATGCCTACAACAATGTAAAGTATAGGGTTAAACTGGATTTTATTTAGATAAATAATAAAGATTGTATTTGTTTTGTAATTGAATTTAATATACACTGTGGTATTAGTTTTCGTTTAAGGGCTTGGACCATAGGCCTTGGTTCTATATAGAGAGTGTATAGGAATGCCACCAAATATTAACCTTGAGCATGGCAACGACCCTTTGTGTATTTTTGGAGAAAACAGGGCTGTTTTATTGTGCATATTGAGATTGAATGTATTTATTAGCGTGAGTAGACCAGAAGGCCGGTGGTGGGATGTTGAATACTCCATCAACCCTTATTAAAATTAGTTATTTAATATGGGTAAAAGGTGATGGTGGTATATCAAGGTCCTTCACCTTACTTGAGTGGTTGATATGTAAATAGTATATGTACAGTAGTTAAGGATGAACGAGAGGGTTGAAATGCGTTGTCGGTAGCACCTGAATCCTAACTTCGGTGGTTAACAGGAGTCAGCCTTTTTTAAGACCAGTATTGTTCAATTGGGCAATCTCTATTATTATCTAGAGCTCTTCATTAAAAGATTTTTTTTCTTTTTGTTTTTAAACCAGACCAAAAGCTTTATTAAGGAGTACTGTGTTTATCCTTCAGGCCTTGATTTTTACTATGCTAGGTGTAGGAATGGTGTAGGAATCTTAGCCTACTGCCTTCCCCCCAAGGACGTGCTCTTTCTTCTTTTTACTAGGAATATCTGCGCAAGCTTGTTTTTTGCTACTACGAGTCTATAGATGTGCCTCCAGAGTCCTACTATCATTCTAGTACTAACCTAGGTTTAGTAGTAGAAATGGTGAAGGTGGGGTGAATACTTTTTGTAAATTTTGTAAAGGGCTCTGGATTTTACTAGTGTCTTTAATGCCACCTGGCTGTCCGAGTAGTCTTAAAGAGTTAGTAATATCGACCATTTTTTAACTAACGAATAATCTGGATCTGGGTATGGTCTGGATGAAGAAACAAGTTCAATTGTCCTGCAGTCATGTCACAGAACTATGACCCAGTCATTGGCAATGTTGGGACTGAGTTGGTTTTAAAAGAAATTTGAAATTATCTATTAAAAACTTAATGATGTGAATTTGTTGACGTATTAACATTGTTTTTCTCTGATGATGATCTTAAAATAGTTCGACAGCTTGGCAGTGACAATTGAATTTCTTCATCCAGACCATATCAAGATCCAGATTATTCACGAGTATTCCCTTGTTGATAATACCAAGCCTTTTGATTTCCTTGGCACATCGTTAAATATCTTTAACTGAAAGAGTGTCATATTGCCCTGGTTTGCGTGAATTCTAGTCCTTGGTTTATTTCCAATGGGTACCAGCTACTGACCCAAGAAGTCAGTATGGACATATGTGTGTGGAGTTGTGCTTTTATAAATTAATCAATCAACCGTCTTCTATGCATTTGTTTGTATACAAGTTGGACCAGAAAAAAGATTAAGGAACTTCTCTTTTGCGATTATTTTGATAGACAATTGACCCCTTTAAAATCTACCAATACCTTATGATACATTGTTTAAACTTGCTGAAAAAAATCGTAGTTAAATATTAATTTTTATTATCGTAAAGGAAACTTTGTAACTGGAATGAAGAGGTCGCGAGAGACAACCCCTTTTCGACAATCGCATTGTAAAAATTTTCCCCCTTTGCTACAGTTCCAGTATCTTGAACTTGGGGGGGGGGTCCCTAAGTGAAAGTTGCGAACATACGAACTACCGACTGACATGTAGTTAAACATTAGGACGTTAAACAAAACTCAACGGCGAGCAAGCCGCATTCTGTACGTCGAAGTTCAACAAGATTTACCCTGTATAAAGTTGGTTGAAAATTTCTTCCTGACTCCCGAAGGTAATTTGAGCATGTGATTGCTTTTTGATCGATACAATTAACATTTTAAACCCTTTGGGGAAAAAGGGGGGGTTTAAAAAAACATTCTCAAAAGACATTACTTGTCTTTGTGCAAAAATATATAAACAAATGTGCTTTTATTTTTAAAAAAATTCATAAATCAATGTTTACAACGCTTTAAATGTCGTTTATTAATTGATCCCTGAGAAATGTCCCTTCTACCCCCTTACACTATGCGAAATACACCAAAAGCAGGAAAAACTTCATAATACACCGGGTCAGTGCGATCTCAGAACTCAGGACAAAAGTCTACACGGATCTATTAATAAATAAAATGTACGGCTAATTAAAAGGGGTCAATGCGATGGGAAGAAGGTCGTACTGGTTTGGATTCCAGGACACGCAGGAGTAGAAAGGAAGGAAGAAGCGGATGCCCTTACACGGAAGTGGGCTGCTCACACTTGACACTGCGAACGGGCAACTTAGAAAAGAAAATATGGCGAAAGTGAGGAAACAATGGGAAATATCCAAAACCTCCTGGCGAAATTTGGAAAGAAACAACAAAATGGATCAAAGGAAACAAGAAGAGACTCCAAATCCTAACAATCTTGAGAAAGATTCTCATCAACCAAACAAGGTGAAGTCTGCGATTAGGCAGACTAGATCGAACGCACCTAAGCCCCAAGAGAAAGTCCTTTGGGACGTATGTCAGTAGAAGAAATACAACAAAAACCGGGCCTAGTTCCTTGTTGAACTGGGACACGTCTGCTGTAAGCACAAACAGTGAATAGCTGTAAAGGGACCAAAATATTGTCGCATTATGCTAACTGTCTCTGAATATTTTTTGAGTTCCATAAAAAAAACCCAATCGAGATTGAAAAACTCGAACCAAAATGGGATCAGATGATTGATTATTAACGTTTATATTTCAAAGAAGAGATTCTGCAATTTCGATTTCCAGGCGAACTTTGTAGTGTATACAGGGTGTCCAGTGAACAACAATACTTCAGGAGGTTATCCTGTATGTCAAATTTGACTAAAAAGCCCCTATTTATCGTAGTCTGATTCTCAGTTATATTAGAGATTTTCGTTTTACTTAAACTTTTCATTTTTCCCCATAAAGCCCCCGTATCTCATAAAATATTACTATTCCATTTATGTTTAGTGGTCTAATTGACCAAATTACTTCTTTTAATTAATTATTCTTTTTATGGAGGTCTTGGTTGAGATGAGAAAGTTAATGTCACGGGCGGGATTCGAACCCACGACCTTCGGCTCAATGCGCCGCTGCTCTAACCACATGAGCTATCGTGACTTCACTCCACTCGGACACAAACTTCGAATCCCGCTCGTGACACTAACTTTTTCTTCTCAACCAAGACCTTACATAAAACGAATAATTAATTTCAAAAAATTAATATTACCGTAAATACGAATACATCAATCGAAAGGGCATTAAAAATCCTATAGGAATCATTGTTTCTTCTAATATTGTAACCTTAAGCAAACAAAGTACAAAATGAGATAGAACATAAACTTTTAAGAGTTTGCACAGTTCTTCAGTCTAAAGTTTAAGTGAGATTTTTTTTGGTTCTGAACATACTGATAGATATGGCGCTTATAGAAATGCTGGTCCTATTAATGAGCTGTAAACATGAGTTTAATTTTTGAAATGCCAGGTATCACCATTGGGAAAATTACGTTTAGTTGCTAAAATTTGACTTTTTGGTTACAAACAGTTAAAAAACTAGTCGTTAAGAATATGAAATTTCTATTAAAAATTATGAAAGTAGGAAAAGCAAAGAAAGGCTTTGTGGTACAAAATTGAACATAAGAAAGCACAAAAGGGGGCGTCGGTGGCCGCAACGGTTTAGGCGTTGACACGGCGCTCATCACTGTAAGGTAAAGATCCCGGGTTCGAACCCAGCGGCCCTGTATTCGAACCAGACATACTTACAAATGGGCTTTTTTCAAAAACATCGGTACCACGAGGGTTGATATAACCTCTGCTGTTGCGAACCCTCGTAAAAAAGAAAAAAAAAAGAAAGCACAAAAAACTTCAATTTAATGTTCGAAATTTTTTCTTGAAGAATACAAGCCAGACAGTTTCCAGTCAGATGCTTTGAAGCTTTTTGTTTTTCTTATGTTCAGTTTTGTAGTAAAGAGTCTTTTTATTTATTTTGTACTTAATTTAATTATTTTTTAAATAATTTACAATCTTATTGAGTATTTTTTGTCGAAAATAAAAGTTTTAGCAATTAAACGTTAATTTTGATACTGATAATAATAAACTATTAGAAATTAAGTATTTGTGTCTACAGGTCATTAGTAGGGGCAAATTTTTGAAATCGCCATATCTCATTATTTATAGAACAAATAAAATCATAGTTTACTTTATAAAAGAACTTTAGAAACTTGTAAAAGTTTATCTTCTAACTGACTTCGTACTTTGTTAGCTTACAAGTTACAATAATGAAACAGATGAATATCATCGGATTTTCAATGTTATTTCCATTCATGTAAACAAATTACTACTATCAAATACTTTATGAAATAAAGTTAAGAAAGGTTGAAGTAACCTGAAGAGTGAAATATCTCGAATATAATTTGAACAATAGGGGATTTTTCAGTCCAATTTGACATGTATAATAACTTCCGGAAGTATTGAAGTCTTTTCGTGGATCACCCTATATAACAAATTTAACAGGTCAATGGATTTTATCCAATTTTACAATAATCGGCAAAAAAGGATGAGGTGCATTTGTTGATTTAGACGACTTGGGATAAAAAGCAAAGGTTTTCTTCTTTTTGTGTCAATTTAATATTTTTATGTGTTTGCGCGAGATAACCATGTTATGTTGGTTTAAATCTATGCTTTCTTTATTTGTGATTGATAGAAAGAGTATTGAGGGGTAGAGAATGAGGGAGAATGTGTAGGTGAGAAAAAGGAAAGTGAGTCAAGTGAATGATAGGGAGAGCGAATGTGAGTGAGTGAGTGAGAGCGAGAGAGAGAGAGAGAGAGAGAGAGAGAGAGAGAGAGAGAGAGAGAGAGAGAGAGAGCGAGAGAACGAACATGCTGTTTTTTTAAATACAATTCTTTTATTTCGTGTATCAACTAATCCTAAAGAACTTTCAAGTTCGACTTTTAATTGCTTGCTAATCTTTAACGAACAGAAAAAAAAGAAGGTGCAATTGATTGATTTTTGTGCAAATTCCATACCTCCATGCACTTACCTTTACCCTTTTCACAACTATCTTGCCTAACTGGGGTTTTAGATTGATTTTTGTTAAACGAGTTATTTTGAAGGTACAAATTGTATAATAAATCATCATTCTTAACATCTTTATTCTTATTGTCAGAATCTTCATCATTCTTTACTCTATTTAATTCTAAAATAAAATAATTTCTTTTTGTATGATTGTATAATTTGCAAGTTGGGTGAAGTTGACGTTATGTAGTAATAATTACCTATGTACATTGGCAGAGGAGTATGAAGCCCATGGAATTTCGTAGCTTCAGCTGCTAATTTTAACAAATAGTTATTGTCTACACAAAGTAAAACATTTTCTGGTTTAATGTCAGTATGAATTATTCTACATTTTTCGTGTAAATATTTCAAAGCCTGTAGAACCTAAAAACAATTATTTTGCATTAATTTCTACCCAAATTGTAGAAAATAAAAGATAATCCATAGAATGCCATACCTGTTTAATTATATTCTTTACAAGCTTAATAGGTACACCTTGATACTTGTGGTCAATAATAATTTTGAGCAAATTGTCACCCAAAACCTCAAAAACCATGCAGATGTGATCTCCGTACTCTCCGGATATAATAAAATTGTCGTACATTTCGACAATTGTCTTCCGACTTACATCATCTGGGTCTGTTGTGTGAACCTACAAATGAGAGTCGAATCTATTTGAGGGAATATAAATGTAAAACGCACCAAGACACCAGGTTCACTCACTGCCGTCAGGAGGCGGATTTCGTCCATAGCCGTGTCTGAATATTGTGGTGCGCTTTTGACTATCTTCAATGCTACGAATCTCTTCTCCCTGCAAATACAAACAAAACCACAAATGAATTTTTCCAAAAAGATACCAGAAATTCATTCATTATGTTTACCAATGGAAACTAGTTTTGCATTCGTAATTATCTTTTACGATGCAAATGTTATAGAGGTCATATCAAATTTATACAGAGTTAAGTTGACAAATATTGTTTCCCATAAACCGTCCCCTTATTATTATTGATGTCACATTCAACACGTGCTGGTTTCCATAAGTCCTACTCGGACAAACTGACCAAACTGAAGAAGGCGCAATGCCGAAACGCGTCAGAGTAGTTCAACGGACCCAATAAGTGACCCAGTGCCGGTTCAGCATGAGTTCTACTCGCAACATCGAGCATCGACTCTAGTTTCTTATAAATAAATAAAATAATATCTTTTTGGTAATTCATCGGTTGGTCGATTTTTTATCTATAGATCAAATACTGAATATGACGATGACCAGGAACGCGTCTGACAGGCCAAAGTGATCAGAAACGACCATACTGGTTCATCACCCCGCAGACCCCAAGACGAGTCCCATCTTCCATTTAGTTTTGAAATTCCCTCCTTACAGAACTCAGTTTTTAAAATCTTTATGTTTTCTACAGTCCTCAAGGGAAGTAAAGGTTTTTCAGAGCCCGGAAGAAGTGAAAATCTGAAGGAGCAATGTCAGGCGTGGGGTAGTATATGTCCTACTCCAGCTCCACTAATTCTCGGCGCGTCTGCAAGGATTTTTTTTATATAAATCGTTTTTATAATATTTAACCAACTATGCATAACTAAGGGCAAGAATTAAGCACGCACTAAGAACCTCACTTGACAAGTGAGGTGACTAAGGGGAATCAGTGTTGCCTCCAATGTTACCCAAACATGGGATGGAGAGGGAGAAAAAAATATATAGAGAGAGAAAGAAAGAGAGAGAGAGCTATAGAGATGATAGAGAAAGAGAGAGAGAGTGGGAGAGATAGAGAGTAATACATATTTTTCTCCTTTTTTTTTATTCATGTATCGATTTTCATATACAACAGATTTGATATTCAATTTAAAATTTCACAGATGTCCCAACTGAATCCTAAAACTTTTGCACGCTTTTAAAAATACCAGACATCAAGTGGTTAAATGTATATTGCTAGACCAGATGCACTTTCAATGTTTCACTTCGTTTTACAAGTTGAATGAGAAGCTTATACAGAAAAGCCTAATTTTTGATCAAGTGGGGATATATGTTTTCCTCTTTAGACCATTGTAGACACACCAAGATTGACTCAGGGGCATAAAAATACCTCGACTAATCCCAGTACCTGTAAATATAATTGTCAGAATAAACAAGGCGGCAAAAATAGCAAGGATATAATCTTGTTTATTTAAAAAAAGCGAGCTTATGTATTATCTTAATAAAAAATAATTGTTTAAATATACAACTTTACTAATTAATTTAAAAAAATTGTTGGTGAAATTAAAATGTCATCATTAACTAACGGTCACTAAACACCACACATAAAAGATTAAACTTACCTCAAGTCCCATGCAAACCAGACCGTCGAGAAATGTCCCCAACCTAATTTCTTTAACACGTAGTAACGCTTTTCGTAAAGGTCACCGATTTGAACCCGGTGGTATCCACCGGGTAGATAATCTGCAGAATCTTCCTGCTGATCGCTCGGAGTATCCGACTCATCGGCAAGATCTCCGCTGTAGCTCTGCTCTCTCGGTTCCGAGCTGAAAAAATAAAATAAATAAAAGATTTAAACAAATGCGTTTATTATGTGTTGGTATTTTGATAATATCCTTATTTTCCACCGGATCTAACTTCAAAGTTAAAAAGTATTCCAATTTGAAACCAGTTACCTACTGGTAATTACGATTCAAAATCGTCATCGAGTCTAATTAGGCAAAGTTTGCTGTCTGTTAGAGATGAACCTATTGTCAGATAATAGGATTGGAGCTCGTGAAAACTTTTGTTTAACCACATTGTTAATTAGTGCAAGACTCCGACGTCTCGTTGTTTCAAAGTCACGAAGTGCATTGTTTGTCATCAACAATGGTTTATTCACAACTACAACAAAGAGATATCGACTCTAGTCAAATACCTAGGATTATACCTAGACAGCACACTGACGTTGGATGCCAAAATCCGCCTTGACAGTTAAGACTCAACTAGCGTTACACACTTTACAGCGACCACTTCGGAGTAGAACTGTGGGGTTCTGCCAAGCCATCCAATCCTTCCAATCAAAATTCCTCAGACAAATCGTCAAAGCTCCTAACTACGTCACTAACCTTACTATCCACAACGACTTCAACATTCCTATTGTCAACGAACTGATCCGTTCCCGATTACAAAAGTTTCACACCAACCTCTCGACCCATCCTAACCCTACCGCTCGAGCCCTCACTACACATCCCCGTCCCAAGAACCCGCCACGTCGCCTTAATCGACAATGGCTTCGAGACCTCCTTGCCTCTTAATCCCTCGCATTGAGTGCCAGCGTTGACCGGCTTTTCGTAGCATTAGTCCTTCGAGCACTGGCACTGGCATTAGTGCTAGTGCTGAGACCGTCTGATAAGAATAACGTACCAACCCTAACCATACAAATACTGATATACTTATTATATTAGCAGAATACTCTTGATTTAACAGTGGCCTAAGGCGGGAGCGCAGTGTGTCCAAATCTATATACGTTGCAAAATCCAACTGATTTTTGATGAATTTTTTCAAAACTTTTATTGACCTTAATCATTGAGTGTATCCACTAGGTGTGTCTTAACATAACTGGGGCGATGCATTCTTGCCACAGGCTCTGAAGATGATCTCAATAAAGATCGAAACGTTGGCACGATAAAGAAAATGTTTTTCTGAAACCTACATGACACCAGACCGCATCTCACGATTTCTAAATAAATATCGATTAACGGTCACTAATCACCACACATTTGTTGCCACACAGTTTTCATGTACAAAAGATAGTTTTGACCGTATATCTATTCTGGATTTTATCCAATGACCACCGCTATTGCAACTATTTAAAGCTGGATTTATCTTCTTCGACCCTGTATCAACAATTTTTGGTTTTTATGCCTTTAAAAGTTGGATTTTTTAAAATTATTATATGCTTACCCTGTATATATTACAAAACGTTTTTTCATACGGTCCAGCACTGACTTTAGTACCAGCGCTGCACCCCGAAACACATGCCAAGAGAAATCAACCAATTGTGGCACTCAGTGTGAGTGATTATGGGGTGAAGAGGTCTTGAATTTATATAATAATTAACCTGTTAATAATAGAAATAAGTTTATAGAATTTCAACAAAAAAAAAGACTATTGCTTGTTCCATCTTGGCAAAAGGAAGAACGAAGCGATTTGCTAACGCGGCGAAAGAATTTGAGAAAATAATTAANATATATATTAATAGTCGTACAAAGTCAAAACGTAGTTTGGTCGTTTATGACCTGGTACCTGAGTCCCAGAGAGAAAATCTCCCAAAATATATACTCAACACAGCAATAAGATAAATTTAACAAATAATATATAAAATATATATTTTAAATCGATTACTTCATCTGGACGATATAAAATTAATTTTAAACATACGCATTTTCAATATGCTTAGATTAAGGGGCGGAATTTCTTTTAAACCTGCACGACTCTCCGGTATTGTTGGCTGCTGACCTGTTAAACGAAAACAGAATAAAGAAAGCCGGTTCGCCGCAGTTGAAAATAGTGTGAAAAGCCAAAATTTCCAGAACCTATGTGTCGAGTGAGTTAATAGGTTTTTTAATTGATTTTTAGATGAAACAATAAATTTGAGTAAAAAATTAATTATTAATTTTTTTCTTAAAAGCATTGTTTTAAGTTGAGAAGATCTCGCCCAGGCAGATGCTTTGTCCAACGACGAATGTAGCGTCCGTTACATACCCACATAAATATTTTTTTTGTTCTGACTAGCAATTTCTTACAGGTAAAAAAAAATAGATGGACCTCTAGTCATATGGACTTTTAGCGAGGTATTGTTTTACTTTGCTATAAATTATTGTTTTCATTGTCAAATATAAATATTTATGTTAATAATTACATATAATTTTACGTAGATGTCTGTTTTCATCGTCAAACATGTAGAATGCTGGCCATATGGCCATAACCTTAAACCCAAAACGCTTATAATAGTTTTACATATTAATCGTTTTCTTCATTCTTGGGAAAGTATGTACATCACTTTATTACATTAATTGTTAATTGTATGTTACTGTGTATTTATTAGAATTTGCAATAAAATAGGCCCTGATGATGGCACTATAAGGTGCCGAAAGCCCGGTGAACCCAACATTTGGTCTTCTTTTTTTATCTAATGACCTCTACGAAGATTGGAACCCTATATAGATTATCTGCAGGCCGATCAACAAACATCATGTTACCAATACTTAAATAGTAAGGTCAAAAAAACACAAAAAAACTGATTCTTCAAATTACTTTCATTAAATAGTACGTAATGAACACTATTCATTGTATATCCTTCGGGACCCAATCTCCCTACTTAATCCATTCTCACTATCCACACAGACTTTCAAATCCCATCTGTCCCCGAAACCGTAAGAAGTCGATGCTTCCGTAAACCCTGGAATCTCATTTCTACCCCAAAGTTAAAGACCTTTTATCCTGAACCCTTCCCAACAATCCTATAAAACGCCTAAAGTGCCAATGTCCTCGCTATATCCTCTTCCTATCCACCAAATTACCCGAGATATTTTCTTTCAAGCTTTTAGAATCAAAGAGATTTTAATGGTCCAACGATGTATCACGTAATACAGATTACCAAACAACTTCAAAACTCATACAGTTCTTTTCAAAAATCCGCTCTCACTTTTCTTCAAAAAATGCATACCTTCTCCGATACCAAAATAAATGACTTGACCAAAATAAATTCTCGAGTCCTGACGGTCCTGTTTGGTAAAATGTAGCCATGGTTAGTCAGGGCTGCTCGATGAGAGGAAGTCCCAATTCCATTTGGATTTTGAAATACTCTGAAGACTCAGGTTACCATGCAGCTGAATAAAGTTTTTACAGCCAGAATGAATGAATACTTTAACTGGGTATTGAGTTGAGCTGTAGTGATTATCGACTCGACAAGAACCGTACCTTCGAAATTCAACCAAATATGACCTTTTTGGCAAACCTTTTTCTACTTGGCAAACGGACAGTTGGTTGTCCATAGCGAATTTACGGTGTTAACGTTGTCAAAATAGATCCACTAGTTGCTACCCGATGAGTTGATGAAACGAGGTCAGTTGGGTTTTTGATACGAGTTCAACACACTTATACACGTCTAAAGAATCAAGATGCAAGTACTTTACTTTTTCCAAATATCTGAAAATAGTACAAAGAGAAAGGAAAAAAAGACTTCTATAAAGGTTACAAAGCTTTCTAACTTCAATAAATAACCAAGGCAGTGTACTCAAAGTAGTTACATTAAATTAAAAGTTTATATTCGTTCTCCGAAAAACTCTTGTTTCCAAATTTTTGGGGGAAATTTCTTAAATGTTCTGCCTTCCAAATGCGTCCAATCGTATTCGAAAATCACAAAAATGGTGATAACTTTGAAACGACTGTTCTGATCTACAGGAAACTTTACAGAGGTTTGGAACCCTATAAATTAGACGTAATGGGATTGACCTCCGTAAATAAATCAGAAACGGAGTTAAAAAATAAAACATTTACGAAGTTTTTGTTGACTTCATCCTTATTATCCACATCCTCTTCATCACCCTCTCGACGCTTTTTATTCTTCTGAAATATGACTGAACATTAACAAATCTCCAAATAGAAAATCCCCTGGGATGATCTAATTACCTCCACCATACTTCGAAGCCTCCCACAAAAGCCATAGTTTTCTTAATTACATTATTCTAATGTTATCCTACGACCCACTTATTACCCTCTCTTATGGAAATATTTCGTCTTTATTCTTATTTCTAAATCTCACAGACCTCCCAACCGCATATCCTCTTACAGACCTTTTACAGCTTTCTTCCTGCAACGACCAAAATACTCGAAAGACTCCTTTCAAAGCGCTTAACACTGATAAAATTATTCCTTCTCACCAACTCAGTTTCCGTACTCTTCCTTCCAAGATACAACAAAGTTTCGGAGTTATCAACACTATCTCCTCTGGTCTAGAGAATAAAAAGTAGCGCTTCGGTGCGTTCCTAGATGTAGCGCAGGCTTTTGATAGGGTCTGGCACCCGGGCATGCTTTATACACTTACACGCTTCCTACCCAATCCTTATTACCTTATCCTGAAATATTATCTTACGGACCGCTGCTTCAGAGTTCTGGGAAGAACGGAAAGACAATCGTTTAGAAGCAGAATAGTGAATTTAATTATAATAATAAAAATTATTACTTATAATTAATATTATAATTAAGTGTCCGAGTGGATCGAGTCAAGATAGCTCAAGTGGTAGAGCAGCTGCGAATTGAGCCGAAGGTCGTGGGTTCGAATCCCGCTCGTGACACTCACTTTTTGATTTCAACCAATACCTTACATAGAGATTAATTAATTGAATTAATAATAACTTCTTTCAATTAATTTTTCTTTTTATGTAAGTTCTTGGTTGAGATGAAAAAGTTAGTGTCACGAGCGAAATTCGAACCCACGACCTTCGGCGATCTAAGTCACGAGAGCTCAAGTGGTAGAGCAGCAGCGTATTGAGCCGAAGGT